GCGATGGCGGCGCGGACTCAGGCCCGGGCCCTGGCGCTGGTGCTCTGGGGCTGGGCAGTGGCCCCGGCGGGAGCCCTGGACGCCATGGGCCCCCACGAGGCCGTCCGTCTGGCCGAGCTGCTGACCCCGGAGGAGTGCGATCATTTCCAGTCTCTCCTGAAGGCGCCGGAGCCGGACGTCGAGGCCGAACTGTCCCGGCTCTCTGAGGACCGGCTGGCCCGCCCTGAGACGCCGGCGTCCACGTCCGCGCCGCGGGGCCGGTTGTGGCGGCGGCGGCGGGCGGCGGCCGATCCCGCGGAGGTGTCGGACGGCTGCCGGGAGGGGCTGGCGGCCTGGCTGGCGGCCAAGGCCTCCACCCTGTCTTGGGACCGCGTGGCCCGGGCTCTGCGGCGCAGCGGCCGCCCGGACGTGGCCCGGGAGCTGGGCAAGAATCTCCACCAGCAGGCGACGCTGCAGCTGCGCAAGTTTGGCCAGCGCTACGTGCGGCTGCCCGCCGCCCCAGGTCTCGGCTTCGGCCCCCGCCCCGGCCCCCGCCCCGGTCCTGCCGCCGCGCCCCCGGCCCCGCGCCCCCGCCGCGCCTCGCTTCCCGAGCCGGACTGGGACGGGCTGCAGCTGATCGTGGAGCGTCTGCCGCAGGCGCCCTACGAGCGCAGCCCCACCGGCTGGGTCGGGCCGCTGGCGCTCGGCCTCCTCACCGGCTTCGTGGGGGCGCTGGGCACCGGGGCGCTGCTCATCGTGCTCACGCTGTGGCTCACGGGCGGCGACGGCGACGGCCCCGGCCCCGGCCCCGGCCCCGGCCCCCGCCCGCGGCCGGGCCCCCGTCCTCCCCGGCGCAGGCCCGCCCAGGCGCTTGGCGCGGCGGAAGCGAGGCCGCTCCTGTCTGCGGAGCGGCTCCAGCCACCGCCGACGAGGGCCTGGGCCGCGCGCTGGCCCGGTCCCCCCTCGCCTCAGTGTCCCCGGCTGTGAGACGGGAGCGCCGCCCTGGCAGAGAGCCGCCTTCGCCCTGTTATAAACATTACCAAATCCGCAAAGGAGGCAGCAAGCGTTGGTTTTTTGGAAATAGCCGCATCGCCAGCGGGGCTGCCTGGGGAGAGGAGGGTCTCGGTGCCCGTGTCCCCCCGGGGTGGGAGGCAGGCCGTCCCGCTTGCCAGCTCTAGTGCCTTCTTCTCTCCCGGAGATTCTTGCACCGACAGCTACCACTTAGTGAGAGCTGACCGTCCGCCAAGCCCCGAGCGAAGCAGTTACCTACATGATTTGACACACTTCAGAACCCAAGAAAAGCAGGTGTGCTCTCCGTGACACGTAAAGAAAACGGGCCACAGCTAGTTAGTGGCATATCAGGGTTTTGAATCCAGAGCGGCCTGAGCCGAAAGTTGAACTCCAGAGGGTATGATCTGTGACCTAAGGGAGCCGGACAAGATGTGGAGTTTCTGCTTACTGGGATGCCCCGCTGCAGTTGCAGGGCCAGGACATCTAGAGGTGTCCCCGCTTTCAGGGGCTGCCGCCTCCAAGCTGCTTTCCCTACTCAGGCAAGGCCCCCTAAATGGAGGAGACAGTAAGACCTACCATACCTGGAGCCCCAAACGTTTCCCACCCTCCTGAGTGGCTGGGGCTCTGCCAGCCCATATGAGGAGCTGAGGATGGGTGAGCCCTCAGACTCCATCCCCTGTCTCAGGGGAAGGCAAAGAGGACAGCTGTGGGGTCTTGCTGGGTGGGAGAGCTTGACTCCCCCCGTCCACCCCCAGCCGAGGGGCTTTGGTGTGAGAACAATGACAGAATGACAGGCCAGTCCAAGAGGAGAGTTGAAAACAAGATTGACGTAACCCTTTATTGCAAATTCTAAAGTAAAAAGATGTACAGTACAAAGTAAAATTGAAATTTCAGACTATAAACTTCCAATCCACTTATGCATTCTCATTTCTCAAGCATTTCTGCCATTTCCGCGTAAACGGAACAGGGAACAAGTCGAGGGGGTGAGGGAAGGAGGAGATACAGCAAGGGAACAAAATTAAGTGTCTAGAATAATCACAAACCCCAGAAGCAAGTGAAAGGAAAGACATTTTCTCGACCTGCTGTCCTGGTGATGAGAAGCGGGGGTGGTTGGAGCAGTGCAGTTTAAAATGGCTCTCAGAATAGCAGCATTTATGGTACCATTTCATCTTTCTTAAGTCCAAATAATACTTTGCCCTTCCCTAGTGCCTTTGCCTCTGTATCTCAAAACACTTTACAAAACATTTAGTTAAAGCCTCACAACACCCCTGTGAGGTAGGTCAGTATTATTATCCCCATTTTACAGATGAGGAAACTGAGGCACAGAGAGGTTAAGTGACTTGCCCAAGGCCACACAGCGAGCCAGTGGTTGAGCTTGGGATGGAACACAGGAGTTCTGTCCCTTTTCTGGAACCACTGGACCACGCTCCCCTTTACCTATATACATTCTTCACACACACACACCACACGTGCACACCCGCCCACCCCACCCCACTTAGCCTCTATGTACAGCAAACAGCAGTGGGGGGCAGGGGCAGGGGGTGCCTCAGGAGCATTTTCATGGAGGAAATCTTGGTAATCTTGGAAAGGACCTCCAAGAAAGCACAGAGCTGAGCCACAGGGCAGACTTCTGTGCACACCTTGGGCCCCTCCTGACCCAGACTTCCTCTTCTCTCCTGATGTCCCCCTGGCTGGCTAGTTGCAGCCGATTCTTTAGGGGGTGGGGGTACCTGAAAATGAACGAAGCTTTTTGCAAAACTTTGGGCAACATCTGAGAAAAGAAAGAGGCATCATTACAGAAGATGCCCAGGACTCAAGTCACAAAGTCATAACCCATGGCAATCTCACCTCCACAGCAGGCCTGGAGGCTGGGGCCGAGGGGAGGAGGATGGGGACTGACCTACCAGCCATCTCTCTCCAGAGTGGAGCTACTGGAGCGGACTAGAGTGGGCACTTCAAAATCCTCCTGAGAGTGTTCCTGGACGGGGAGACATGGCCTAGAGTGGGATGTCCCCAAAGAAGGGCAGGGTGAGGGAGGGGAGCGGTACTCCTCTTCCCTGCACAAATGTGAACGAGACCAGCCGTAGTCTGCTGGTGTATGTGTTGGGGTGATGGAGGGCAGGGCCCAGCATTAGCTAGCAGAGTGGAGACTACTGGGCATCGTGCTTGCCCAAGCTTTGGGGCATTAGGATAGGGTTTCTTTTTTTGTTGTTGTTGTTTGGTTTTTTGTTTTAACATACTGGTGAAAAAGGCAGAAGTGAGGCCAGTATGGCTGGGTTGGCTGAGGTCATCTCTGGGGGCTCTGCCAGGTGGACTGGTGAAGAAGGGGTTTTGTGGGCCCGGAAGCACTGGCCCGGGAGAGGGAAGAACGCCACATGCAATGGGTAAGTGCTGGGTGGGTGGGGATCTGGGTAGGGGGGAGGGGGTGGGTGGGACCTTGCTCTTCTCTCCAGTCTTTACTTCTTAGCCAGAACTTTTCTCCCTTCTGTTCCCCTCCTTTCCCCAAATGTGCTAAGGTCCCGATTCCCAGACCCCTCCCAGGACTCAAGAATTGGGATAGTCAAGCAACAAACGGACACCAAGACAGGCTTCCCTTGTACAGCAAAAAGGGTCATTTTTATTTTGTTTCCTTTTGGCTTATAGTAGTGATGTACTTTTTTTTTTTTTTTTTTTTAAATCATGTCTCATTTAGAGCAGTGTTGGCCTCCATGCATTCACTAACACACTAATCTTCACTAGTGGTCTTTTACAAGTTTACATTTGTTGCGGCGGAAAAGAAAAGAACTTTGGGCACTGTCGTTCCGGGGGCTGTGACTGGGAGCGACTGCTTATTTCTCCCCAGTCAACTTCTGACGCCAAAAGTGGTTCATTTAGAGAAGTGGGAGTAGGTCATGTTGACTCGGGACGTTTTCGCTGCTCTCACCCTCTGCTTTAAACTATGGAGTCTCCTCAGCCTACAGCAACAAGGAGGTTAAGGGAAGAAGAGGGGAAAGTGTTTTCCACACACAAACCAGCAACGATGTCAGCTGCTGCTCAGTGGCTTTGGCTCTGCATTTTAAGTTAACAGCATCGCACACGTCTTTTTGCTTTTTGTCCTTTTTTAAAAGGTGGATTGTGGAGTATAAATACTGCACCAAGGACCTGGCTACAAAAAATAAATATTTATATTATATTTATATATCTATATATATATATGTGCAGTGATACTGTGGCTGCGGCTGCTTTTTGATTGGCTTCGTTAATATTTGGCAAAGCGTTGCCACTTACCCACTCAATGAAGGCGCACGGAAACGTCACCGACTCAGTTCAGTGCCTGTTAACTGCGGGTGTAAACTGCTGGTGATGGTGTCATTTACTACCAAAGAAGTGTGGAGCAGGGCGGGTGAGTGAGAGAGTGAGCAAGCGAGTGGGTGGAGGGACGGTGGGTGAGGGAAAAGAAGGTAGGAAAAGTTAAAAAAAAAAAAGTTGAAACATCAGATAGAGTGGGGGGGCTTCTTCCCTACGAAGCTGGCTGATGGGTGTCAGATACCAAGGCCCATTTGTGTGTTACTGAGGAGATAGCTGCTGAGGGTCTGGGGGGAGGGAAAAGGTCAGATCTTAGAAAAAATCTCATTAATATGCTCTAGTAGCTTAATGACATCACTAGCATGAGCGCTTGGGGGGTACCGAGTGGGATCTTATAGCTCTGTTGCCCATCCCAAGACCTAAGAACAATTATGAAGTTTAGCCAAATCTTGCATAGAAGTGGTTAGAATTTATTGCACATTGGAACAAAAATATATATATTTTTTGTTGTTTTGGAAAAGACCATTAGCAATAAAAAATTTTTTGTCTGTCTGTCTGGTTTGGGGATGTACATTGGCTGACAGCATCTAAGATCTAAGAAGAAAGAAAAGTATAAAAAATAAAAATAAACATGACAATGGCATAAGCCAGAAGCCATTTCCTATTTGGTAAGTTAATAATTTGTATTTACAAAAAGGCATGCCAATAAAATAAAATGATATATTACAGTATTTATAATTCTCTTAAAAAGAAGAGCCACACATGTCAGCTTCTGTTTTGTGCTGTTTACGATGTAGCCTGTACATGTTACCATACATTCGTCCTAGCAGTTAGCAGGGTCACTGAGAGAAATGCTTTTCCAGCCTGGTGTTGGGGGATAGTACAAAAGTCCTACGGAGGAGGCCACAGAAGCAGGCTGATGAGAGCCGGGCAGAGTTTCTAACGGTTCGACAAGAGAGAAAGCTCTGCTTCGGCTGGCTGTGGTTTGTTCTATGCAAAACTAGTCAGGTGGTTGGTACAATCGCACCAGAGTGCTTCTACGGCAAGGCAGACGGGCGTGTCTGATTACAGGGTGCTTTCAGTCCCCCTCGGTTTTATGGTTCGGGAAGAATTTGTTTTGATTTGGTTTGCTTGCTCAAGTCTCCTCGTTCTCTGTGAGGACTTCCTGACATTCAAGTGCAGCCTCGTGGCTGTGAGTGCTAGTCATCAGAGGAGAGACCCCTGGACTAAAAACTGTTTTCCCTAAAGCGGGAGATGGAATGGAAGACACTGTGCTCCCCGCAAAGCCACCCTCCAAGGACAATGGGCAGGTCGCTAAGCAGATGGCACAACTGGCGGAGAGGGAACTGTGCAGGGGCCGGCGTGAGGGGGTGGGGGGGAAGCTGGGATGTCTAAAGAATTCACATTAAATCGCTGTCTCATGAGAATCAGTGCAATAAAGAAACCAAGTGGGCTTGGTTCAGAGGCGGCTCCATCTCTCCCTCAGATCCCACCAGTGACTACTCTATAATGCACGGAAGAAACCACCGCCACAGCCCCCAGGGCTGCTGCCCTCACCCAGCACTGTAGGTAAGGAAAGCCCCGCTTGGTGCAAAAATGAGATGGAGGCAAGAGGAACCATGCAGTGTGTGAGCTCGCGACAAGCCCTCTGTAGAGTGGGGAGGCCCGTCGGGAAGATCTGCACCCCTCTCCAGCGGGACCCGAGCCCGAGAAAGCCACAGTGCAGAAGGACAGGACACTGAATGAAGTGAGCACCCCAAACCCCCATGAAAGTTTTTCAGTTCCCCAAATTGCCCCCTAGAGATAATGTGCCACTTTGAGTAGCACTTTTATCTCTGCCCCAAGTAAGTGTCAGTTCTCCAGTATGAAGGCTAAACAATCATCATAAATATTGCAATACAAATGAACTTTTTTTTTTGGATTTTTTTGTTTTTAGCCCTAGGATTTGGTTTTACAGTGACATTACTAATACAAGCCATTCGAGATCAAAGTTTCCCCATGGAGGGACACAGAGCAGCATTTAAATAGTTCATCTTTTGAAATGTGCAACAATGGCTGTATGTTAGAGACGTCTGTTAAACATACACACACAACGGATCCGTCTGCTTGTTGGACTGGGTTTGTTTTTTGGTGGTGGTGGTCAATTGGTCGCTTATGTTTCCCTACCCAGAAGGTGTATGAAAGACTTCTAAGAATTCATAAGGATTTGCAGCGGGTGTGGAACTCTTACCATTTTTTTTTTTTTCTCCAAATACAGTGAACGGTGCAGGGCTGGGTCCCTTCTGAAGGCTGACCCAGGGCAGGGGACAGGATTAGTAGTGTCCTGTGGTGTATGGTTCTCATGCATGACTTCTGATCACGGCATGCCATCATGCAAATCATTTCTACGCATTGAACGAGCACAATGTTTGGAATTGGCCTGAGCAAGTCCTCCTCAGCCTGAAGAAACCTGATTGTTTCCCCCACCCATCTCCAAACCACGTGAAGCCCATGTGGAGAAGATGCGGTTTATGTCAAAGAAACTGACAGTTGAATGCCACGGGCTAGATGTGAGTGTGTGTGTGTGTGTCTGTGTGTCTGTGTGTGTGTTTTCTTTTTGCTGCTTAGCTTAACTAATGTAAGAATGCAAATACAGTTTTCATGGACAAACAAACTTTTAAAGTGATGCTTTCTGCTTCTGAGAATCACCAAAATGAAAAAATAAAATCCCTTTGGCTGCAACGGAAATCTGCTGGTCCCGGCAGCCTCTCCTCTGGTTTTTGTATCCTGTTGGTTTTGTCCTAAGTTGCATTGACTGATGTGGAACATGCAGTAACCACCTGCCCAAGCGTTAGAAAATCTGTGAGTCCGGGGAGCAGGGTCCTTGGCCCTTGGCAGGTCACTGCTCAAGATGCAACCGTGTTACATGGTAAGCAGACTACGTTTGGTATAGATCTTCAGTTCAAGTGTCTCCACAGCTGTTCTGCATTGAGAAGATTCAGGAAGTTTGTAAACAATCTTTCACTTGCAAGTTTTACATCTGTACAATATTTAATTTTTGCTTTCCTCTAACACTTGGATTCTCTGACCTCTTTTTGTCTTTTGGCCCTTTCCCTTCTTCCTTCCTCTGCCCGTTGCTGTTTTTCCTTCTCAGGTTTAGTTACACTGTCGTAGGACGGGAGGGAGGCTGTGGACGGGGTGCTCTCCTTTTTCTCCCGGTGCGTGCCTCCGTTCTCCAGCTTATTGGAAGTGGTCTTTTTGCAAATGAAACCCCGCCTCGCTAAATGTCCCCGGTAGGCGCGCTGCAGGACCACGGCCGACACCTCCTCCTGCTTGCGTCTCAGTGTGGTCGTGATGGGCTCGTAAGACACTTTGGAAGGGTTGGACGCCACGAACCGCTCCTCCATCTGCTGGCGGAGGATGTCCAGCTCCCCGCTGTCTCCCAGGACCCGCTTGGTGAAGGCAAAAAGGATGTCCAAGCAGTGGATGCGGTCCCCGCTGACCATGGGCAGGTCCATGGCAATGAGCTCGATGGTGTTGGGCTTGGGCACTCGGAGAGGGTGCTCCAAGGCATCTGCAAAGTCTGCCAGCTTACAGTACTCAATGAACTGGGTGGCATCGGGGTCAAACTTCTCCCAGATCTCGTAGAAGGTCTCAAAGTCATCCTCACTCAGAGGGTCAGCACTTTCCTCTGTGGCTACACTGAAGTTCTCCAAGATGATGGCAATGTACATGTTCACAACGATCAGGAAGGAGATGATGATGTAGCTTACGAAGAAGAAGATGCCCACGGAGGGGTTCCCGCAGTCGCCCTTGAAGCCACTCCCTGGGTGCTCCTTATCCAGACTGCAGTCAGGGGGGCGGTTCAGGATGGGCAGCAGCAGGCCGTCCCAGCCAGCTGAGGTTGTGATCTGAAACAGGCAGATCATGCTATTGCCAAAGGTCTCAAAGTTGAACATGTCGTCGATGCCAGCCTCGTGCTTTACATACGCGAAATTGGACATCCCGAAGATGGAGAAGATGAACATGACCAGGAAGAGCAGAAGGCCAATGTTGAACAGAGCAGGCAAGGACATCATTAAGGCAAAGAGCAGGGTCCGAATCCCTTTGGCACCTTTGATCAGACGCAAGATGCGCCCGATACGGGCCAATCGGATGACTCGGAATAGGGTTGGGGAAACAAAGTATTTCTCAATTATATCAGCCAGGAACATTCCTAAGAAGAGGACAGAAGAAGAAATGTTACTGAGACTGGAGACCCCTTTCTCTTAGGTCACCTGGCACTGGAGCCCTTATGTCCAAAGGGCTTCACAGAATGAGCGCCTTACCATTCAATTGGGACTCTCATGATGAAAAAAGAAAATCACCTGTTTCAAATGTATGCAAAAGCAGAGGAAACAATAACATAGACATCTGTGCACTTCACATCCAGATTGAATAGATGCAAGTAATTTTACCAAATTTGCTTCCTCTCTTCAACCACGGTCCTGGAGATGGTGGAGTATCGTTCCAGTTTCTTCACAATTTCACTACAGATGAATCCGCGCGATCATAGCTAGATAGATAGCATCCTAGCGCCCTACTATGTTGAAAGAATTACACCGTATCTTTTTAGAACTTTTTAGAAGGCAAGGTTTTTAGATCTCTAACTTAATTTCGGGACTTTGCATTATGCTTGTGAGATTGATCTCTGGTGTTACACTAATTCTGGATTATTCATTTTGATGGCTGAGCAGTATTCCATCTCATGAACATGTCCTCATTTATCTGTTTTCCTACTCAAGAACAATTAGTTTTTTCTCAGTTTTGTGCGTGTGTGATTTTCCAAGGTGTTACTGATTCCCCTCCAAAATGCTAGCAGATTTCCACATCCACACACAGTGAATGGGAGGGCCTGGCACCACCCAGGACCTCATGCCCCTAGGCTGTGGTGTCTTGGTTATTCTGCTATGCCGCGAATTTTCAAAGTATCTTCTTCCTGGCTCTGAAAAGACATTTTTGGTTTCTTATTGTCCCATGTCCCTACCCTGCCAAAGTAGCCAAGAAAACTAGAGGGGATCTCTCAGGAATGGCTTTTCACTCAGAGCTTCTAGATTTTGTGTTTAAAGCCATAAATCAGAAACAGCATCAGCAGAGAAAAATGTCAAGGCATAGTAGGTAGGATATAAAAGGGAAGAGTGACTATGTAAAGCCAGAGGGCCTTTTTCTGTTTACACTTATCTGGGGGGTCCACCTCAGCCAGATCACTTGCCTTGAACACCGTGGAGCAATCATGGGAGCCCAGTGAAGGGCCACGGAAGGGAGAGGGTATGCAAAGGTTGCAACTGAAGGGAAGGCAATGATGTGCCCTCTTCCTTCAGCGCCTGTTCCTGCTGTCGAGGCCCTGACGAGACAACACGAGCTTCCACGGACAGGAAGGATTTACTTTGAATAAGGGTTCACAAATACTGGGATAATGAACTGCAGAATACTGGGCAAACCCCTTATTTGAGCTCCCCCGCTTTTCTTTTCTTAAAAAGATTTATTTAGTTTAGAAAGTTCAGAAAGTTTAGAAAGAGAGAGACTCTCAAGCAGACTCCCCACTGAGCATGGAGCCTGCTGCAGGGCTTGACTCGGGGCTCCATCCCACAACCCAGAGATGGTGAACCTGAGTTGAGATCAAGAGTTAGACGCTTAGCCGACTGAGCCACCCAGGCGCCCCACCGAGCTTCTGAAGGTAGGATAAACATCTTTTGCTTTCTGTTTGTTTGTTTCCCTCCTCCTCTGAGCCTCAAACAGGTGTCTAACTGGAGACATATCAGAGTAACGGATGCCACTTTGTACTTCCACTCCCCCATGCATTCCTTCATAAAGGTGCCTTTGTGATTAATCAGACTCTTTATGCATGATTCTTTTTCAACACAGGACAAAAATCTTAACTTCAGCAAGGGACAAGATGCAGTAAGTTCAGAGAGGAGGCCGGACAGCCTCTTGGAGCATCTTCTAGAGTTAGAATTGCATGGAGTAATTGAGCTTTCAAGAAAACTCAGCCAGCACCCAAGATGAATTCTCAGCTCTCTTCTTTTTGCAGCTCAAGTAAGTCATAACCAGTGACCGTAAGAAGTCAGGTCGTATCTGGACTACTGCATTCTGGTAGGCATGTAAGGCTTCAGGGAGAAGGTGCTAGAGTAAGGTTCTGTCTGATGAATGGGTGCTTGTCCCCAGAGAAAAGGGGAGAAAGATGGGGAGACAGCACTCCAGGGAGCAGGAACACCATTTAAGGGGTCCTCTAGGAGGTCCCAGGGCTAGTTACCCTAAGTTCCCTTAATTTAAAAGGATGACTTCTATACTTTTGTTTCTGAACAAATGAATGCTATTTAATAAAAATCCTAATCACCAAAAGTAAAATTATTCTTCCCTTTGTTTTTCAGTACCATCTGAGAATAGGGGACATGGTTTGGTTTGTGGGTTTTCCCACTCAATGACGGGTGGGCAGGAAACATTGAAGAACAGTGGACAGGGCAACACTGTCCAAAGTGTGTTTTGTGGGAGCTCAGGAGTGTGGATTTGAGGTCAGGGCTGGACTTGAACACTCGCTCACTCGCTCACCAGCCTCATGTCTTGGTCACTGCTCTGTGCCTCAGTTTCTTGTACTTAGAAGGTTGTTGTGAGGACTGTAGGAATTATAACTAGCAAAGCACTTAGAACGGAGACCGGCACATAGCATGTTTCATTAAAACATGAGATACCATTAGTATTATTTGAAAAAAGGGTGCTGTGGTCAAAATAAAGGTAGGATGGTGTATTCAACCATTCTTTACTGTAGGATTTCCAAGACCCTTCTATAGGCCACTGTGCCCTGGGAGTCTTCAAAGGGAGATTCCATGTATAGTGCTGCCCAGAGTAATTTCATCATGGAGTTCTTTTCTTGGGGGGAGATGTATGAGAATAGTGCTCCATGTATCAACACACTTTTGGATGTGCTGCTCCAGCAGACAGAACAAGAAAACCAGAAACTAGCACAGGCCAAGGGGAGAGCCAGCTGTTTTCAGTCGACCCTGGTCACCACCTTGCTCAGCCAGCCTGGCCACCAGCTCTGGGGCTGGTTCCCTCGGGCCTCGGGCACTCTTCCTCTGCCAGCCTACGTCAGTTAAACCTACCAGAACCAAGCCAGTGTTTTACCATTGAGATGAATTTTAGGAAGGCCAGGAAATAAGTTTTGGGAGGCCAATCAATAGGCCAGCATTTTGTCTGCCTGCCAGAGTATCAACCCTCCCATGCCTCTAGGTTGAAGCAAAATGTTACACAGTTGCTGTTAAGATCCAACCCGAGTTCCGCCTCTGCCACCTCCCAGCTGGGTGACCTTAGACACACAAAAGATTAAAAAATAGCCTGCTTCCTGGGCTGTCATAAGCACCAAATAAGATCATGCCAGTGAAGAACCATGCCGGTGCACAGTAAAACGTCGGTAAACGAGCCCTGCTGTCCCCACCAGAATGTTCTCAGACTACTTTCATTAGTATCCAACCCAACAATCTCTTAGCATTCCTTTTTCCACATTACATTGCAACTGCAGTCAGGGTTCTTTTAACTTTCCCTGTTACCTTTAACACCTCGAAAGCAAGAGCCAAATCTCTATCATTTTCCCCCTTTAACCAGGAATTTCTAATCCAAGACAACTATGAACCCTCACTAGAAACCCACTGACCACGTGACCTTTTGGGTGGGTCCATGAGATGACTTGGAGATGCACGTGGGCCTCTGCCATGAGAGGCCCGGGCCTGCACTTGACACCCATGGAACCGGCTGCTCACCCAGGAGTCCCGTGCTCAAGGCCAGGCAGGCACCCTGCGTCTTCCCCTGCTGGTCCCACTTACCCACAATGGAGAGGATGACTACCACGAAGTCAAAGATGTTCCAGCCAATGGTGAAGTAGTAGTGTCTCAAGGCAAACATTTTGAGCACACACTCACAGGTGAAGAAGATGACAAAGACCAGGTTAATCCAGTAGAGAATGTTTTCCATCTGCTTGCTCTGCGTATCTGTCTCCACCATCATGGTCACCATGTTAAGGCAGATGAGCATCATGATAACGATATCAAAGGCTTGTTGAGTGACAAAGTCAAAGATGATGCCTTGGATTTTGTTCTAGGGGCGGGAGGGGGAGGAAAGACACGAGAGTATTCATGAGAGCCTCCCCGAATGGACCACGGAAGATGCCATCACCTCTCTTTTCTGCAACCCTGGCCAGCTCTTTGCTGCTGCTCTGGTAGGGTGTCAGGCACAGGGGCAGACCCCGATAACACCCAGTATTCTCTTCCCCAAGGCTTTCTAACGCTGCCCCTATTCTCTTTTGCGTCTATGCCATCACACGCTTCTGGAGGGCTTCGCGCCTTGCCAATGGCCCCTGTTCAGCCTCATTTGCTGGCCATGTCTGCCCTGACCTTGTCTCTTTTCTCTCTACACTGTCTCCCCAGGAGAGTTCACCTATTCCTACTGTGTACATGGTGTCTGTGTCCTTCAGTTTCTCAAGTTCTTTCCTCTGAATTCCTATGTTGCTTTCTCAGCAAGCATCTCTTCCTTGTTAACTCATAAGCATCTCTAACCTAACAAGTCCTTCTCCTGCCTCTCACCCAACCCGCTCCTCTCCCATCTCTATCATCCACCCAGTCTCCAAACCAGACCCTTAAGGGTCGCCCTTGTCACTTTCCTCTCCCTTGTCCCCCCACCGCATACACTTCAGGTCCGACGGATTTTTCTGAATTCATCCACTTCATCCTGCTTCTGTTGGCCCCACACTAGCCCCAGCACCACCATCTTCTATCTGGACTTCTGGGAGAGTCTCCCAGCTGGTGTCCTGCCACCTCTCTCACCTGCCTCCAGCATAGTCTCCAGAGTAGCAAGTGTAATTATTTAAAAACATAAATGGATCCTATCTTGCTTCTACTTAAAACCTTTCAACAGTTTCTCATTGGGCTTGCAACAAAGTTCATGTTGCTAGCCTGATTTAGAGATGCCTCGCATAGTCTAATCTGGCTCACCTCATGCCCTTTCTTCTAGCCGGTCACCACCTGGCCACACGGATGCTTCCTGCTCTTACAGCCAGCACTCCTGGCTCCTTCTCATCTACCCAAGTAGACTCTTCCTAGTGGGGCTTTCTCGGACTACTTTACGGAAGTGGATCCCTGTCCCAAGCTCCCCATTCTCTGTCAGGACCGCCGGTTGTTTTTTTCTCACAACACTACACATTGTATAGTGGCGGTTTAATCGTTTATTACCTAAATCCCTCCTGTATTAAAAACAACCTTGACAACAGTGTCTGAATTGTGTCGGTCACTTTGGGCCTAGTGCCTGGAACTTAGTAGGAGACATATAACTATTTGCTGAATGTCTCCTGCCACAGGATGTTTTTCTATTTTAGAGCAGAAGAAAATACAGAAAATACATGCAAGTTCTTGTGTGCAAAGGACTGAAGAGAGCTTCAGAAATGTTAACCTTCTCCATTCTCAGTCTCATTGCCATCACAAAATGGAAGCTCTAATATCAAACAAATACCAAAAACATTCTCTTTCTTAAGATCTCTGATTTTTTTTTTTTTTTTTTAAAGAACCTAGGAACTCAAGCTGGTTCTTACTTTGAGGATCACTTTCACTTACTGGTTTCCCAACTGTTCGACGGGGCCTGTGGGCTTCCTTCCCCTCAGAAGTGGGGGCGGGGGCGGGTATGCCAGGCCCAGAGGGTGGCACTAAGTAGGGAAAATGCGTAGGGACTCCCACCCTTGGTTCAAAGTAGCTCTACTTTTATTTCTACAAATTAGACTGCCAGGTGAGCTTTGAAGAGTTGTGCTGTTTTTAAATAAAAAGGTACTTTATTTTATTTTATTTTTAAAGATTTTATTTATTTATTTGACAGAGAGAGATCACAAGTAGACAGAGAGGCAGGCAGAGAGAGAGAGAGAGGGAAGCAGGCTCCCTGCTGAGCAGAGAGCCCGATGCGGGACTCGATCCCAGGACTCTGAGATCATGACCTGAGCCGAAGGCAGCGGCTTAACCCACTGAGCCACCCAGGCGCCCTAAAAAGGTACTTTAAATGAAAGTTACAGAAGATGGAACTTTGAGCCTGGGGGTGGTGTCCCACTCTGCTGGGTATGTGGCTTTAGAGGCAGAGCATGTCCTCTGACGTTAGAGGGCAGGCACCAACCAAAAGGCAAAGCAAGATCCTAGTACCCAAATCTGTTTGACAAAAGGTTCAGTTCAAGACTGAAAATCAGGACATTACACTCCTAGTTTTACCCTCTTCTACTCCCACAAATAGTCAGGGTACTATCTTGTCTTGCAAAGACTTACTTGCTGGGCAGAGAGCTGAGAAGAGAGTGGTCACATCCTACCTTGCAGTGGGAGAAAGAGACCAGCTTTCATTTTCACTTTCCTTTGTCAATTTTTAGCAGTCTCTTAAAACATCTTTCTTCCATCGCTAGAGCCTATGTGATTATAACAGGCTGATTCTCTGCTGCAGCCCAAGGAAGTCTCAGAGGAAAGGTCAAGCACAAATATAAAAGCCATCCCCTACCTTAGTCCCTGTTCTGCTGTCTTCCCCAGATCCTCTGAATGGGCTGGCTGGGAGAGGATCAGAGGACACAGGCAGCCCGTCACTTACCCCTTTCTTTCTTTACTTGGCAATAATCCTACCAGTGTATTTGCCATTTGGGGTCTCACTCTGCCCTCAGCCGGCACTCACCAGGGGGCGGGGAATGGGTTTCTGTGGTTTCTTTGAGCCCAGCTTTTTCATGGCATTATAGTACTTCTTCTGTTCTTCTGTCATGAAGATGTCCTGACCTCCAAAGTAAAGGAAGAAAGAAAAGAACAAGCAATTACAATAGGCTCTCATGCGCTGTGGTTTGGACCTAAGATTCGACTCTAAGAGCTGAGAGGGGCCTGACCCCCTGACCTTTCCAGAGGTCAGTTAAGCTAATAGTTGGCTCATAATGAGGTAGACCTAGGACAACTATTCTAATTCAAAGAAACACCAGCCTTCGTCCTCAGCTTGGAATTCCTGAGGTCTGCCAGTGGCTAGGCATGAAGGAAATGGACAGCCCCACTGAGGGCCCTCAGGGAAGGGCACACTTGAGAGCTGTGATACTGAAGATAGTTGAATCTTCCTGGTTCACACATTTTTTGGGGACCCGCTTTCCATGACAGAAGTCTAAAGAAGAACATTTTAAAACGAAAGGATTTTCAGGTCCTGGTTATTGGCCCATTTATTTCCAACAATATTAAAAATTCAGAAATCCTGGTGTAAGAAAACAACACGGGGAGGTCCTTGACACAGATGTGACTTCTACAATGGATGACGAGAGTGAGTGCTTCAGTTTGTTTAGGAAGAATTGTTAACCACCTGGAACAAGGCAGGAAGTGAACTTTCCAAGGATGGTCTCTCAAATCCTAGTTTGCTAGTGGTGCCCAGGGATTCCCATCGGTCATGACAAGTCTAGACACTTTCTACTTCTTGCTACAGTTACTCAGCTGATGCTGTCCTTTTCACCCCTATCACTAGGCCCTCTCTGACCTGCCTCCCCCTGGCGGGAAGCCACACCCAGCAAAGACCTCAAGAATTGCTAGTACATTAGGTATTAGGACATTGTTAGTTTGGCCTAGGAAAAGTGGTAAAGCACACACTGTGCAATCCAGCACCCCCCCCCCCTCCGAAAGAGTTGATGGCACTAATATATAGTGGGGCCAAGGCCACAGGGAGGTGATAATAAGGATTTTAGAGAAAGAGAGGCATTTTCTTTCTAGAGATAGGGACAGGGGTGTCTCTCATCTGTGCTGAGCTCTGGCCGCTGGCGGTGAGGGGAGGAAACCTATCTTTTTCTTTTGTTGATTGAAGTTATCAATGATGACACCAATGAACAAGTTCAGGGTGAAGAAGGAGCCGAAGATGATGAAGATGACAAAGTAGATGTACATGTAGATGTTGTCCTCATACTTAGGCTGCTCGTCGGGCTGTCAAAAAGGATCAGGGAGGAAAGAAGAGAATCAGCTCCTGGGTGGTGAGGGTGGGGGTGGGATGAGGCCGCGATCTGACATGCCATTGCCACCAGCCATAACCGCCCCCTGGAGCTGTTGCACAAGCTGGGTGGAGGGCGTGCTACTTTCTGTCTGCTTGGGTCCTCCCCCAGGTCCGCAGCCACCCGCCCCCCCCCAACACGGGCGACTATGCAAATGGAGAGTGGAGACTATGGTGGAGACTATGCAAATGATGAGGCCGGGGGAGGGGAGGCAGGGCAGCTAAGAGCCACTCTTGGGTCAGCACGAAGAAGAGATGGCTCCTCTGGGGCCAGGTCAAAACCAACCGCCTGATCATCCAGAGCCGATGTAAAAACGTGATGACTGAGAGGAGGAAACTGAGCTATAATCAATCAAACCAGCAATACGTGTCCTAACCCGCTCTTTCGCCACCATGCTGCTTGCTTTCTAGCCTTCTCTCAAGGTTGTGGTTTCGCCAGGTGTATCCTTACCTTTCGGGAATCTACAGCTGCATACATGATGTCCATCCAGCCTTTGAAGGTTGCCTGGCAAACAGAGTCAGTCATTAGACTGTGCCCGTTGGGGGCAGGGGGTGGGAGTCTAGGCAGGGGTCACAGAGGCCAGGCTCAGGTTGGGTGTGAACACAGGACTGAGTTTGGGCGTGGTCTCATATGGACCTAGAATTTTGTGTTAGTTAACACAGGTCCTGAGGGGGCTTTGTCTAAGTCCCTGGAAATAACATCAAAGTTTGGCAGAGAAACATGTTGACAATGGTAGCTGGATCAATACTCTCATAAAAGGTCTTTAAAACAGGCCTGAGAAGGTTGCCCAATGCTCGGGCAAACTTGTATTTATGAACAAGTGCCAGGAATCTACTGAGGCTGCTGAGAACGTAACCGACCACCCATGAGTCATTTTTTACCATGGTGTTAAATAAGCAATGGGGGTCTGAAAATTTCTAAGTTGCAGTTAAAAAAAAAAACCAAAAACACAAGGCCACAAGGCGACAAGGCCAGAACTTTCCCCATCCTAGGATTGCCTACAGCAATGGCAATCCTGCCTTCGTCCCAGGCAGCCCTTCCTAACCGCACTGTCTTTCCATCTACTAGACCTCTGATTTTGGAAACAAATAGTGGTTAGCAATTCAGTGTTCTCCGTTTTCTTTTTGTCCCATTTGTTTTATTTATTCAACCAGATTCAAAGTTCTTTCAGGGCACGGGTGGATCTTTATATGTCAGATGGCCCTAGTAGTGCCAAGCACAGCACCTTGTGCGCAAGGTGTGAATACAGTGTCTAACTGGCTGATTGATGTGTATTGGTCTCCTGGAGGTGCTCCAAATCAGATTCAACTTGCAGGTCCCGTTTCTCCAACTGGGATAAAACAACAAAAGACTCCGGAGTAGGATAAAGCTCATTCTATCAACTTTGCCATCTACTAGCTAACAGTGCTAGCTAACAGTAAGTGCTTACTATCTGTAAGGTCAAGTTGAGAGCTTCACCTGCATTATGGCATTCAGTCCTCCCAAGGACTATATGATGCAGGCACGGTTGTATTAGTAACAAAAATACCTAATAGCAAAATACCATTAATCAAGCACTGCTGTGTGCCAGGCATTGTTCTAAGAAATTTTAAAAAATTATTAGGACTCCTCTTAGCAACAGTGCAAAGTATTATCACCAACATTTAACAGATGAAGAAACAGATGTGGGGAAGTTGAGTCATTTGTCCAAGGTTATATATGCAATAAACATCGCAGTACGGCTCAAACCTACATCTGTCTGACTCCAAAGCCTAGGAGCTTTCATTGCATCCTACTGTCTTGTCAAACATTCCAAAAAATTGGTGAGAGTCGAAGAGAAAACTAGACATGATGGTATGCTACATAATTAAAATAAATCCTTTCTTACTGTGACAAGTTAATTTGAGAACTTTCTCTGGGAGGGGCTGACATGAGCGGCAGCATCCTAGCACTGCCATATTCTTCTCTTTAGTTAACTTAGTGTGGCTGTTGTATAGGGTTATTCTGCTAAATCAGAATTCCCATTCTGTTGGTGTGGTTGGTGTCTATGCACTTACCTTCTTCTCCCCACCCCCGTTCTCTTTAAATAAATACTTCGCCCTGGAGAAAGACGGTGATCTCTCTGCAACTTTCTTATGCTGCAGGAATCTATTTGTTGCTGAGCAGCTCAGAACTCTGTCCTGAGGATTGGGAGAGATTCCCCCCACCCCCACTTGAGTGAGGTCTTGGAGAATTCAGGAATTCTCAGGAAAGGTGTCTCCCTGGAACTGGATTGGGAAAGGACATTGTTCTCTGTGGCCTATAAGGAGTAACCCTGATTCTGGAGATAGGAATGAGAAGGAACCAAATGTGATTTCGCCAGCTGTCGGAATTCCCCAGGACTGGCAAAAACGGCAACGCTTACCACTTGAAGAAGTGCCAGGTAGCCTGCACCGACGTTGTCAAAGTTGATCTTCACATTCTTCCACCTGATTTCTGTGTTGTTCCCCTCCATGAGCTTTTCGCACTCAGTTTTATTGTTGACATCTTCAATTTCAAATCGGATTTCAGAGGTCTCATTAAAGCAGTAGTGGTACTTCCCCGCAAACAGGTTAACTCCCATGATGCTGAAAATCAGCCAGAAGATGAGACACACCAGCAGCACATTCATGATGGAGGGGATGGCGCCCACCAAGGCATTCACCACCACCTGCATTGGAAGGGGGAGGTTGCTGAATGTTGGGAGGAAGTACGGGCAAGCATACTCTTCTGATTTCCAGGAGGGGAATGATACTGTGTGGCTTGTTCTGACTACAAAAACGTTATGCCCCCTTTGGAATTAGAGTAGCTGGATGGATCCACAAGTAGAACCAGCATTTTCTAAATCTCTAAAGAATATTTTGAGGAATACTAGTAAATTCCTTAATATTTATTTCATCTAGCATGAATTTCCCTGCCCCAATTGACCTAGGTCTTCTCCCCTCAGGCTCTAACCTGGGACTGAAAAAATTATTTAGTCTTGTTTCCCTCCTTGCCAGCTCATAAAACATGCCCCCCGTGGGGGAAATCTGATTTCAAGCTCACCAGTTGCCTATCAACAGACATTCCCCTCTCTGCAAAACAAGGTAGGATTGTTCAAAATCACAGAGAACTACCCTTCGGGGTTAGCAGGGAATCAGTCAATGGTACACAAAGTCTCTTTTATGCAAGGCCAGTTATCTTATTTCAGGCAATAGCTGAGCATGCATATTTTGCAGGCTCAAGAAAAAAAAAGCTATATTCCCTCTACCAAACAGAATAAAATAAAATCTGAACAGATGTATTTTTCACTCAAGGTTCATTATTCTTCTTCAGCCTTTTTTTTTTTTTTCCCTCTCTCCTGACTTTGTAGGCTTCTGAATGTAAGAGTTGTCCCCGTTTGGCTAATGCTGACTGCTGTCAATCCAGGGCTGGACTCGACTATTCACAATGTATTAGGAATAGGAATGCCTTACGTTTTCTGGAAAGTTCTGGGTTATATCACTGGTCTTGAAACCCCCAAACCGGCATATTGTTAAAAATCACTGACTGTAGGTAAGCTTGGGAACGGGGGGGAAAAAAAAAAAGCAAAGGGAAAAATTCAGGAATCAAACTTTCTGGGTTGTTTTTAATTTCCATTTTGATTCACACTATAGGTGAGAGTAGCTAGACAACACTTCTACTGTGGTGGCAGTTTTCCATAGAGGAGTTCAAAGGGCTCACAAAAATAGCATTTGGGGGCGCGGTGGCGGGGTCGGCACAGAAAATGAGGCTGGTGTTCACTTTGCCCTGATCCTCACTTGCTGTTGTCTTAAGTGGGACTGCTAAGGCCCAGAAAGGTAACCCTATAACGTGGGAAGACTGTGTCTTCCTTTCTCTAATATCCTAGGAAAATTAACATGGAGTTAAAAATAAAAACCATGGATGTAAACGCAGCTTTCTAATGTCTTGTTAGAGGAGGTGAGAAGTATCAGCATGCTCCTGCGTCAGTTTTTCAGTGCGGAGAAGAGGCAGGACACACACTGCCGATATGCACAGCGTCCAAAGGGCCCACAGGGCTGTGCTGTGGGAGGAACGCCAGGGGGCAGCTCTGGGCTCTGTTTGAGCCCGACTTGGGGTCGAGTTTTCCTTATCTTCTGTTCTGGCCTTACACTGCAATGTCACTGGTGGGAAAACGGGGTTGAGAAGAGCTGTTCTGTCCTATATAAAAAAGGCAATGATATTCTGCGAAGGAGTCATTCTTTAGATTAAAATATTAGTTTTGTGTTTCCCCAATTCATATATGAAGGCCTTTAGATTGAGAGGTAGTTATTTCTTAATTCTTAGACCAAGAAATCTCTTCTAGATTTAATAGCTCTGTCTTTGGTGTAAATGATTATCCTTCAACTGTTCATTACTTTGATGGAGGAAAGCTGGAATATCCGAAATCTGGAAAATCCTCCATGTTATTTTGGAGAATGATTGATTGATTGATTGATTGACATGTTACCGAATGTGTCCAGTGATCAGATTTGAATTTTACCTCCTCATTCTACAGTTGCTCACCCTTTGGTGGAGCACCAGAAAGCAATGAAATGTGCAAAAGAACAGGCAAAAGGAGGATGATCCACAAATGGAATAATCATTTCTCCGACGATAAGAGAGTAGATTACCAAGATTCAAAAGATCAAGTCCATGTGACAGCATTTTGCAGCAAAGCTTAGGGGAGAGATCATGACCTTCTATTAGACCATCACAGGTGTGCAATGGGGAAGTAGGCCCCAAAAGATCTGAAACCCAGAAATGTTTCTTTTTATCTCAGTTCAGTTCCTCCTCTGGGAACTCTTCTGATTATTTTAGTCCAGTATAACCTGTCCTGGATAGGGTTACGTGTTACAGTTTAATATGGGGTAATATTTATAGCAGGGAAGAATAATTAGCTAATTAACTAAGTGACCTCTTCCTACTTTTATACGTGTAGAGCTGATCGAAAGAATCAATACATGGAAGTATTTACGGGCCTTGTTCTCTGATATGTAGAACATGAAAATCCTATAAAATCCAATGTCCTTATATGATGTAAATGCTCTTCTGATTAATTATAATCAAAGAAAAACTTCTTAGCTTAGCTTTATGAATAGAACAGTAAACAGCTCATGAAATTTACTAATAATTCTTCCTGGCTGTAGACACTAGCTAATAATGAAAATTGTTTAACTGTGCTCCATATATAATCATCATTGGGCTGACATTCTCAGCAACCAAAGGGCAAAAAACCATGCTTTCTTGAACTCTCACACCACAGGTAGTGCAAATGGTAATTCAAGTTTCCACAGGCAATCACTTCATGAATTGGTCCCTAATAACTCTTAAATTATTCTACATTGCTTTTAGTTATGATAAAATTCATTGTTCAAAACTAGGTATAGAAATATTACTCAAAGCTTGGGTCTAGCAATCTACAAAATTATTTTTTTTCAATGCACATTTATACTTAATGATTGCTTCCAATCACTTGGCTGATGGAAAAATTCCAATGGATATGAATTCTTAGAGCACTGTCTTCTCATAATGTCTAGAACGCTACTGTTCATTAAATGCTATAAAATCTGTCAAATAGCTTTTAATATCTGGCAGAGGGAACATGGCTTTAATGGACAACTATGTACTGACAATCAACAAAAAGGCATGCATGTTTCATAGCATTATATACCCTCAAAAATTTAAAAGCACAGCGAAATCTTTAAATGAAGATTACTATGGAGGAGAGAAAAGCAAAGAACTACATTAAGTGTTCCTTTGCCAATAATTGCATGAGTGCTTCAATTTTCCAGTGTTTGGTTTGAGGAAGGAGAGGAAGAACTGAAGTCAGTGTCCCAGGACAGGCTAGGGCTGGATGTTCCCTCCCAAACAGAGGTCTGAGCCTACCACTGGAGCAGCACAGTGACAGTCGAGCCCACCTGCATTGATGGTCTTCAGTTTGTGAAGGATTCCTAGCTAGCATTTTTCTAAGGGTAAGCGCTGAGTGTTGGTGTACATAAGAATCCAAACCACAAAACAGAAAACATATGGCCCCAGAGAAAAGTAACCTTGAAATAAAATGTATGTACCTAATGCTGTTTATCGCTGGGAAGCTGACTGTTAGCTCAGGCGGATTCAATCTTTCCTTCCAGCAGCTACGCTTTCAGGGAGGGGCTGGGAAGCAGCCGCACAGGACAGGATCCTTAGCCCTCTCCTCTGCCCAGCCAGGAGCGGTCAGTGCTGTCGGCTGACCAGAGACGACCAAACCAAGGGCCACTCCTCTACCAGAGCTTCCCTTCCTGAACACTCATTGTTCCAAATTCTGGCTTTTGGTTCAAACTGGTTTTCCCTCACGTTATTTTTGTTGGAAAAAACCTCGATGTAGAGGTTTCACTTCCTCATACTTTTTCAAGGAAAAGTTTATGCCTCTCTGCTCTGATCACCACTTCTGGACCTCTGGGTCCCTGAGCTACTTGCAGGTTGGCAACCAGAAGTTTTGGGGAGTGGAATTGGTGAGCCCAAGGGAAGGTGAGGAAAGGGGGTGGGGCTGGAGGGAAGAGGTGTGGCCACCCTAAGGGCCCCTGAGTCCAGGGGAGGCAAATAACCTTGGCATGAACAAACCAGCCCTGGCTGGTTACCAAGGACGACTTCCGCCAGGGGCAGGGACTGGCAGTAACAAGACTGCTGGTGGAGAAAGGTAGAGCAAGTGTCAGCTGGGCGTTTTTTCTTGGGCTTTCTTCAGGTACTACCAGTCTGGCTTTAGGAGGTTCGGGATCACCCCTGAGGGGTGGGGAGGAGCATGGGCTATGGACGCGGCTACAGTGTGCCCAGTACTGTCTCCACCAGCTTTCTTTTACTCCTCAGTTTCAGTCACCAACATAGGTGATCAACGCTCTAAACAGAACTGATAGGATTTAGGAAAAAAGTTTCACTAGCCCTTTCTGAAAAAGGGAGAGCACGGTAATCCCATGTCTAATGACCCGGAGCACAGAGTCGTCCGTGGGATACTCTCTCTCCCTCAGTCTAGCCTGTGCCTTACAGTGACCTCCCTGCACTTGTTCCAACATCTCTCTGATCTCTGGGAGAAAGACTTAGACTCCCAAGTTTTGCTTTGTTTTTTTTTTTTTTTTTAATTGAAAGCAGTCTGTGCTGTCATGGACCTGACTTTCCTGCAGACGGTTTCACGTGGGTTGCAGAAAGCTGATATGCAGTAAACCGAACCGTGACTGTGCTACAGCAGAGACGCAACTGGTGGCGAAAAGCATTTGTCTGAAGAAACTAACAGAACACAATTCCCGAGGCGCAGTAAAGTTTTCACCTTCCTGTCCAACTGGGGGTTGTTTGTGGAACAGTGCCCAGGGACCACAGATGAGGAATGGATGAAGCAGCACTGTCCTGGTACCTAGTTCCTCCACTCAGTCTTGCTTCCTGGGGGCCACTGTAACCATTTAATTTTCATTCCTACATTCTGATATTTGCACATTTAAAAAACGTATCCTCGGTTTGCTCTCCTGCATGTATTCAACATCTGAATGGAAATGAGTTTTCTTGGTCTCGTTAAGTATAACAGACCTCTCTGTTACCACGGGACAACTATTACCACTAAAAGACAGTTGCCCACATGATTTTAGGAAATTGACTTTTTAGCATGTGTGTGTGTGCACGCGCACATGCACACACATGCACTTTTTTTTTTTTTAAACCAACAGAGACAGCAAAAGGGCACCAAAAGAGGGAGCCTCGTGTTTCTAAGTTGGCAAGGTGACAGCACCTTGCCCTGTTTGGATCTGGGTGGAGTGTCACCAAAGCAGGAATAGCAGGGGTCAGGAAATTTCAGAACCAGCGGAGAAGTCATCTGGCGCCATACCTGATTGTTATTTGCGGTGTCAGGATAGGGAACCATACAGCGTGGGCAGAGGGGTAGGGGGTGAGGAGGAAAGCTTTGCTATCAGACAGAGGCTGCCAGTCCTTATGGGACTGGGCTGAGAACAACAAGGTGCAATAAGAGGAATCAGAATAGAAAGAAAAGCATTTCTTTTCCCAGGGCCATGCCAAATTCTGCTCCGTTCCCAATGCCAGGCCTGCCATCATGTCTTCTAGTCCCCTTCTCTGCTGCGTTCTCAGTGACGGCACGGCCACAGCCCCCACTTGGCTGATGCCCTACCCGGCACTAGCCCTGCCTGCGGTCTCTGCTTTTCAGTGGGGCCGCGGGTTACAATTCCCCTTCTTTGCACCTGGTGATTCTCCCTATTAAATCAACAGCCCAGAAAGCCGCCCCGAGTGCTACAGGTAAGCCAGGCCAAATGAGAATAGCCAGCGTTAACATGTTCTGCGATGGCACGTTGTTGGGGCGGGGCCCATGTTAATGTGATGAGGCAGCTTGATGAGACCCCCTCGCACGGGGCAGGTGCGGGGAGAGAGCGGAGGATCAAATCAGCAGCTGCATCACAGATCGTGTCTGAATGATCTTCCCACCGTGTGATCAGTTCTAGCATGCGTAAACAGTTTCCATCGGCATGCAGAAGGATCAGCTGCTCTTAGTATCTTACCCTCATCCCTTCAAATCGTGATAAGGCTCTTAAGGGTCTCAAAGCTCTTAGGGTCCTAAGGGACTTTATGGCACCTAGTTCCGAGTAGCCCAGGGCATTAGCTATAAGGCTGACTAAAGAGACCTACACGGAAACAGAAGAGAAAAACAAAAACAAAAAAGGAAACAAAGCAAAACAAAGAAAAACAAGAAAAGAGGTTCCAGAGTGTTAGAATAAAGCCCCTAGCACTGATTACACAGATTGGGCCCCCCAGGGAGAGAGAGTGGGTAACACCAGCTGCCTACTTCAACTTGGACTCAAACGACCTGAAAGGAAAGGAGGTTGAGAGGCAGAAGAAAAAACACAAGGGGGAGGAGAAAATCGAGAGGAGGCGGTAGAACATACATACAGGTTGGCAAAGGGAAGAGGCTGAAGGGAGAGGGGGAATGAGGACGTTCCAGTGGAAGGAGAGGAGCCTGAACAGATGACAAAAACCTTACCCTCGCCCTTTACAGCCTCTGCAGCTCCCAGAAGTTGCCATTAAATTAAGCCAGACAAATTTAATGGTACCTATGGAAAAGAATACAGATAAATACACACACTCCACACAAGCCGCCCCCTCCTCAGCTCATTCACCATGGATTTCCAACAGGGACAAGCTCTCTTGCTCCTGGTTGACAAGAAACCATTTGCTGGAGAACGTGATGAGTTACTACGTCAACAAAGGAAACGTATCCAGTAAGCGCCACAGCTGGCTTTGCCGTTCCCAAGAAGGCAAGAACCAAAGGAAGCAATTTCTAGACAGAGTTTTGGCTCTACGAGAACTCCCTTAAGCAAGTCTTCCGTCTCTCACTTTCAACTATAATAATCCTTCCGTCTCTGAACTACAACCAGACGCCTTCATGAGAACTTGGGTGGGCCTGAAAACTGAACCTGTACTTCTCCTTATCATCCCCATTCTTTCTCTCCAGAAACAGCTCAGAATGAACTGGCCTCAGGTCTGTTCTTTCCTGGACCATCTTCTACTCTCATCGTTAGAAAAACAGCTGGAAGGATAAACTTAGAGCAATTGTAAAAATTTTAGTCACAGATGAGGACACTGAGCCCCCTACACAAGACTCTGCTGGGTGTCACACTGGCAGTTCTGGAGCCAGAAATAGAGACCCTGGAAACTCCTGGTTTCCAGGCAAGAGCTCCTTCTTCCACAGACAGGTCACATCCCCGACTGGCAGGTAAAATGACGATATCCCAAGAGGGTTATCGGTATCAGAACAATCCGGAGTCGACTGTATCACCCTGCTGGGGAGAAGCCTGCAGGTCTCCAGGCCTGGAGTCATGATGGTTAAATGCCTTCCTGCTCTTCCAGAGCCAAACTCACTTTGTCCTACCAGAGCTCCCAGAGCAGTTCCCATGTGGTCCCATAACACCGGATGCCGACTATACCTGGATGCTATACCGGACTATACCGGATGCTGCCTGGGTCTGATCCGAGAGGCCTGACCGGAGTTCCCACCAAGGGAACTACCTTTAGCCAATCGAATCCTGACAGTCTGGGCTCTGGGTTTCTTGGAGCAGTCTTTCCCGTGTACTGCACCACAAATTCTGGGATATGTTAGGATATTCCCATAGATCATTCTTAAATTCCCTCTACTGGAAAGTGGTGGTTACAGATCTGCTTGGCCTACATTGATATTTTAAAGCAAATTTAGAGGAGAAAAATGGAAACAATCTACAACTCAGTTTCATTTGCTGTTTTTTTATCTCTAGCTGAGGGCTTTAATTCTTTGAGTCTGTATCTCGGAACTATATGAAACATTTAAAAAAATAAGTTCTTTTCTTTTTATAATGAAGCAGGAGGACTGGCAGGAGGCAGAAGTGGAATGTCCGTGACCTAGTGAGAGAAAGGGATGAGCATGCTCAAGGATTTCAATTTTTTTTCAAGGATTTCAATTTTTAAAAGGGGTGTGAACCTTTGTCTATGTATGGACTCAAAATCCATCAGTGTAGGTATCTTCCCTGGAGTCCTAAGCAGTATCCCAAACAGATCTGGAATTAAAGCCTGCCCAATTTACTCCTGTTCTTTGAAGGGTACATGCTTCACTAGCATGTACCCTTCATTTTTTGTCTAAAACAAGGGTCTCAAAAGCTTTATGTGGAACAGTAGCACCAACCAATCATTTCCCCTCCATTCATCATTCTCAGTAAGACTCTAGATGGAGGTGTGTTTTGCCTATGATTGCCAAGTGCAGTCAACTCTTAACCCCAAATAATCTACAATTGCCAGATTCTTGGTGAGACCTTAATAGGCATATCTGTAGGTGAGCCTTCCCATCTTCACCAAGTGCCTGAGATCAAATACCCCTGAGTCAACCTTACCCTGAGAAACTATGCCAGGTAAAGATGGCCAAACACTAAGCTTTGAGGGGCAATGGCACGCACGATAGGCCCCGCACATGGCAGGGACACTCCAGCTCTTCAGGGCGGTGGGTTAGTCTGATTACAAAGAGGCCTGGGGTGGGAAGAAGGATGGAGGTACAGATGCTGCTCCCCGGCTTGGCTCTAAATGGTGCGGAGATATCATGCTGCTCAGCTGATCAATCTAGCCAAGATCTCCCAAGACAGGGTCAGCAAGGAGCCTATGTGGGCTAGTGCTTAGCAGCTGAGGGCGCTCTGATAATCCTGAGTCCCCATGCTAAACCTTCACCGGAGGTAACAAGCTCATTGCTGAAAGTCTACTTCAAGGAAAGAATCAGACCTGGAAAGAAGAAAGGAGTTGAGGGGAAGTAAAAATTCAGGGTATCAATGGCTGCAGGAATAGAAAAAAAAGGGAGACACTAGGTGACTTTTTCTAAATGATGTGAACATTTTCAAATGGAGAATATTTGTCATGGTCTGAATTCAGGATGTGTGGGCTCTGAAAGTTCCCGTACCTGGAACTGATATGCTGGTTAACCTCTTGATATAATGGGATAAATTTCCCTGGGGGAAAGTTGACAAAACTCTTCTACAGGACAAGGTCTCCACTGCAGCCAAGGACCTGAGCAAAATGAAACATTGTCTCTGTTTGGGAATTATATGGCTTGTAACCAAAGAGAATTAACCTTGGAGGTTGTCTGGATTATCCACGTGATTGTTAAAAAGTCCTCTTAGCAGCTTTAAGGGGCATCAAAGAGGAAGGAGAATCCATTAGGGAAACAAACATGGTGACAAATAACAGATTTGGACATCTAGTCACTGGGGAATGAGATAGGAAGAAGAGCTTCTCTCAGAGGTGGAGCTAGAGTGGGACCTAAAATTTACACCTGCTGGATGTTCTAGAATGCCAAGGACACATGACAGCAAAAAACTCGGATGGTTCCAGCTGTGCAGGTGCATGTAAGCCTTCTTCCCCATGCATAACTCAGGAGTGGCCGACGGTGCAGCCGCGGGACGGACTGGGGCCTCTTCCCCCTTAGCGCACGCTGCTTTATACGGTGATTGTTTGCATACATGTCTCAGCCTTGCAGGCCCTTAGAGAGAACTATCCACGTCTTCTGCTCTCTGTATCCCCCACAACTCCTGGCGGGAGCTTGGCACATTGTGGGTGCTCAGTAAACATATGATACTAAATGCACTGTTGTGTCCAAGAGAAGTCAGTGGATGGGAGGGTCCCAGGAGAGCCCTGTTCCCAGAATGCTGGAGCTAGGCCCAGCAAGGGTGAAGCCAGTCCCGAGGGGTCCTGCAAGCTGGTGTGAGCGCCTAAGGAGCTGGGGCCATGCCTGCATGCCCCTCGTGGCTCACTGCAGCTTCGGGGACAGCTCTACACACAGGATGGTGTTTGATTTCTATTTGTTGACTAATAACCGGTACTGAGGAGTTCTTAGGAACCACTGTCAGGACTCACGGCAATGTAAGAATCCAGCAATGCCCTCAAGCTGGGGAGGTTATGGATAAATGCTTGCTCTGTGTCTGTCTCATACTTTCAGTTTCTCTGCCACCAGTATAAAAGGGAATGAAAATGTTTGCTAAATAAATGCTAATGCACACGACCCTCAATGTTTTTATCAGCTTATTTGGGTACCAGGGGGTCCTGTTCTGTGAAAGACAGCAGGCCCAGTGTCCCTTTATTCTCTGGGCCATAGCCCAAGCCCACTCCTTCATTCTTAGAGCTCGAGCCTTCCATCTGTGGGAGGTGGAGCCCTTCCGTCAGAAGGCACTAGTGGCGGCTGCTGACAGGAGTGCTGAAATCTGCCAGGACGGCCTCGGGTTGCCGCCCTCTGGGGCAGTACCTGTTTGGCTCACTTTAAGGGCAGGGGGTGACTTCCTCACCTCATCTGGGCATCTCCCTAAAGGCCAGGTTTCTGAAAAGGGAATGCAAATAGGAGCAGAGTGACATCCCCTGGAAGGAGTCATTAACCGTGGAAGTCAGAAGTCACAGACATTTACAGGAACAGGAATGTATTCTAGAGCAGAGATCACTGGTGCGGAGTGCTGGGCTCCCATTATCTGACAGAGGCGTCCACGCTGCTCCATTCCGGATCCCAGAGGCATGCTCTAGGTGCTTTACTATATGGCTGAGGAAACCTGCATTCTACATGTACCCAACCAGCCTCCAAACACTCCGCTTGCTTGGCACTTAGCGCTCAGCTCAGCAGGAAGTGAATTCTCCACAGGCCCTGGTCCTGAAATTCCCATTCACCCTTTCTTTCGAAGGCTGATTTGGCTAGAAGAAAAGAGCTTTAGTGATTACACAGAATAAGAAGCATGCATCACAGTTAGAAAAGCCAACAAGGAACAAGGGCTTATTGGGTGAGAAACGATCACAGAAGATGCAGCTTCCACCCTGGAAAATAAGACAGGAGGTGATGGCCGGCAAGCCTTGGAGATGGTCTTGGAACCTGGAGGAGAAAAGGATTCTCGTGTGATCACCACTGTGGAAATGGCAGTGTGTGGGAAGGGGCGTGGATTTCAGTGTGAACACCACCGCTTCTGGACAGGCGGACTAGTTCGGAGGAGTTTGGTGCGAAGCCTTGAGATGATGGAAGTATCCATAAGAATGGTCAGCAGAGAGAGCTTTACTGAGATCCCCCCCACACCTGTACCCCACCTCATCCTCACCCCTCCCCTGGCACCAGAAAGAGCGCACCCTGCTGGTGCAGGGCAAGAACTGTTTGTTCCCAGCCTAATAACAAGGGGCGTTGGCACCAACGATTCCACTTCCTGCTCCTAATCTCTGACTCTTCCAAGCCAAACCACCAGAGCCCAGAGCTGGTTGGTTAACCCCTGGGGCCAATGGAGAGACTTCAGAGCTCCATCACCCGAAGTTAAGCTCTGAGTGCTCTGACAGGAGCTTTCCCCTAAACTACACCTACATCTTGTCCGACATCCTGGGTGCCCAGGCAACTCCGGCCATTAGAGGAAGGAACATCCCTGCTTTTGTTTCCCTACAAGAAGGGGTGGGAAGTAGAAAGCAGGACACGTACAGCCACAATGAGGAAGTCCAGCCAGCACCAGGCGTTGGTGAAGAACTTGACGAAGCCGTAGGCTGTCCACTTGAGCAACATCTCCAGGATGAAGATGTAGGTGAAGACTTTGTCGGCGTATTCCAGGATGGTACGGATGGTCTTTCTCTGCTCGATGTAAATGTCCTCGAAGGCCTGGAAGAGAAGCAGTGGCTGCCCAAGGTGCCTGAAGGGAGACAAGCAGCTTGGGAAGGCCCCACCCCTCGGCAGCTCCTCCCGCTGCGGCTGGCCTATGCTGGGCTTCCTGTCTCTCTCACCCCACCCCCTGCCACATGTGGCTTCTTAAAAAATGTTTTACTGAGATACAATCCACATAGCATACGATGCCGCTATTTCAAGTGTACAGTTCGACTTGTATATCCATTACACAATCAAGTTTAGAGTGTCTCCATCCACCCCCAAAAGAAACCCCACACCTTCTAGCTGCCACCCTCTGGCCTCCTTGCGTCCCACGAGTCCCAGGCAACCACTATGCTATTTCCTCTCTTCCCATCTGCCCATTCTGGACATTTCATATAAAGGCAATCAGACGATACGTGGTCCCTGGTGACTGGCTTCTCTCCCTGAGCACAGAGTTTTCCAAGTTCATCCATGCTGCAGCCCGCATCAGTGCTGCGTTTCTCTTGACCGATGAAGAAGACTCCAATGTGTGGCTGTGTGGCAGTCTGTCTACCTTCCTCACTGATGGACACTTGTGTGCCTACTTTCTGGCTATTGTGAATGGCACTGCTACAAACATTCGTGCATCTGTTTTATGTGGACATGTCTTCCTTTCTCTGGGGTATAATGTCTAGGAGGGGACCGACCGGCTCACGTGGCGACTGTAGGCTTCAGTTTTTGAGGCCCTGCCAACCAGCGCTCCAGCGTGGTGGCACCGTTCTACATGTCCTCCGGCAGAGTCTGAGGGTTCCAGCTTCTCCGTGTCCTTGCCGACACTCTATGTGCTTATGTGATAAAATCTTTTCTCCCTGCAGCCCCTGATGCCACAGATATGGGGGAGGGTCACAGGAGTGGGAGACGCTCAGGTGAAGAAAATCTTAGTCCAACTTTCTCTCTCTGGAATTCCTGAATGAAGTGACTCCCTAACATGAAGGTAGAACGTTCCCATGACTGGAGTGGAGGGCTGTGGAGGGAGAGCAGGAAGTCCTGCAACATGAGAGAAAACTACAGGGGGAACAAAAGTCCCGTGTCCTACAATGGGAGGTCCTGCTCTGGACCGTTCCAGAAGGAAGGACAGAATCAGGCTGCTGCGGATACACTTCCAACGAGGAGGCATATCACGTACTCCAGTTCCATCACTGGACAGCTGGGAGAGGTCATGGTCCATCATTCTTCTCAGGGGTCTTTTGTACAAATAACCCCCCTCTGCTCAGTGAAATACTCAACAGCTTCCATGCCAAGTTTCCCCTTACCTCTCTTTGCAGAGATTCATTCTGTCACCCAAATACGTGTGAGATGCCCAAGACTGAGCTTCCGGTCACTGGCAGCTCTATCCACCCCTCCCACCCAAAGTCCCGTCATAACCCCACTCTCGGCTTCTCTCAGACATTTTAGCTGTGGCTTCACTTCGCTTTTTTTTTTTTTTTTTTTTTTGAGAGAGAGAGTGTGAGCTGGGAGAGGGGGTGAGGGGCAGAAGGAGAGAGAGAGAATCTCAGGCAGACTCCCGCTGAGTCTAAAGCGGGGCTTGATCCCACAACACTGAGATCATGACCCGAGCTGAAATCAAGAGTCAGGCGCTTAACTGACTGAGCCAGCCAGGCGCCCCTTCACTTTGCTCTTCTTAGGTCTCATGCCTCCTAACTGCACAGGGTCTTCAAGTACCGAGCCAAGTGTCCCCTGTTTTATTCATCTACAATAAAGAGAAACTATCAAAGGTGAGCAGTAAAGAAGGTTCAGAACTTCTGTTTCACTGCTGCTTTTCTGCTTTTCTTTTTTTGTGGCAATGAGAAAGAGAAGAGTCAGAGGATGAGGTGTGTTCCTTAATTCTGGATTTCTGTTTACAAGATTGGAGGAAGAGCGATGATGACAGTCACAAAACACCTTTCTCCTGGCTCTGGCCTGAGTCTGGCCCTCCCTTTTCCCATGGGCAGAGATCATCCTGTTATCTGGGGGCCTGCACAGCCCCTCAGCCAGCACTGAGGGAGGCCTGTGGAGGCAGTAAAGGCCTAGGACAGGCAGGACAGTGTGACTAACCCCTCTCCCCACCCAGATCCAGGCTGCCAAGCCATCTGGCCTCCTGCATTTGTCCTGCCACATGCCTGCATAATCCCCCCACCTCTGGCCCCCCACTCCCCACGGGATCTTCTTTGCCACCTACTGCCTCCATTTCAGCTTCTCTTCTCTTCTCTTCTTCTCCTACGGGATCTTTCTTTTCTTTTCTTTTTTAAAGATTTTATTTATTTACTTGACAGAGAGAGATCACAGGTAGGCAGAGAGGCAGACAGAGAGGGGGAAGCAGGCTCCCTGCTGAGCAGAGAGCCCGATGCAGGGCTCGATCCCAGGACCCTGAGATCATGACATGAGCAGGAGGCAGAGGCTTAACCCACTGAGCCACCCAGGCGCTCCTCCTACGGGATCTTTAACAGTAAATTTAACATTCTCTTGCTATTTTCTGCACCCAGATTAGGCTTTGCTTCTATTCCTACATGAATGTGCCTGCCTTTTTTTAAAGCATTTCAAAATTCTGCATTCTTCAGCTTTCCCTTAACTCAAACAAGGAGAATGTGCCACGTCTCTAAGTGCCTACTATCCTCAAATCTATCCAACTGGGGAACAACTCCCTCACTCCTGACCCTGTCCAGGTCTCCTCAGTTATAAGCCAGCTAAAATAAAAGCAAAAGCCCAGATAATGAGCTCCCACAGGGGAGAAGCCCGCGTGTCCAGTGCCCCGAGCCTCACCGATCAATGAGAAGCACTTCCAATTTTGTGAATATGAACAGCCTTTACACCAGAGACCTGGCTTTTTAAGTATCTGCTAATGCCATGAGTTCTCCCAACCAGTTAGGGTGTGAGGGGAGATGGGGTAGGGGAAGCCAACCTCCGTCCCATCTGGGGCAAGTGAAAAGTAAAGAACAGGATATTTGGGATACTAGGTGAGGAAGGGAAGATCATTTGAGGAAGTTGCTTAGAACGGGGCAAACTAAGCAGTGAAGATAATTAATTTGTGCTCTCATTCTGATAGAAAGGGGGTCTTAGATGTGTGAGGTGTCACGCTGAGTGTAAAGAAGATCAGGATGTGGGTAAGTGGATTCTAATCCTAAAAGCTCAAAACATCAGGCCAAAGCACTCTGGCAGACCATCCTGCTTGGGGCCACAGCCATCTGTGCTCTCAGAGGCACTGGGCTTGCACCCCACCTGGACCCTCCCCCAGCTCTTACAAAGCCTTTCCCAGCCCATCCCTCCCCGTCCTCTCCCCTGGACTCACCAGGGCGCCACTGCTGAGCAGAATCATGAAAATGATGAAGGTCTCAAACCAGTTGTGCTCCACAATGAGGAAACAGGTCTTCCTCAGGATCCACCAAGACTTGCCAAGCCCTTCTTCGATGTTGACCTGGCAGCACTTGAATCGCTGGACACAGCCTGGCACCAGCGGGAGAGGCAGGTCAGCGCGGGAGCGGGCCCCGCCCAGACCTGACCCCTCCTTGGCCTCCTGACCCCAGCAGGCGCTGCCCCACCACGCAGCCGGGAGCACAGGGGCTGAATCAGAAGGCCTGCCTCAGCCACGGAGGGTGCCAGGGCTGGGGCGACGCTGCAACACTACGGGGACAGGACCCTCTGGAGTTGGGAAGATGTCCTCTAAAGAAGCCGTGAGAGGGAGGAGAAAAGGGGAGTCAGGAGGCAGACACAGCCATGACACGACAGGCCTTGCTATCGGAAGTTTTGGGCTGACGCCAAGAGAAAACGGACAAAGAAATGTTTGCAAATAGAAACTTGCTCTAGGTAGGAACCAAACATGGGAAACAATATCAACTGGCTTCCAGAGGAGGAGGTGGGGAACAAAGCTCTTGAGGGCGGCCACGGAGCCCCCACGCGGAGCCAACCACTGGCCCCGGCAGAAATCCGCAAGCAGTGCCAGGGCCACGGCCCCCCCTTGTCCTTGCCCCTTTGCACCTTCTGTGAAGCAGGCATCTGGGTCCAAGTACTCCTCGGGCTGTTCCACTGGGACTTCTTCTACTTCGGGTTTGATATCGATGGTGCTTCCTTCAGAGGAGCTAGTGTCATCCAGTTTCTAGAGTGGCAAAGAAAAGGGAGTTTAACCAACTCTGCGTGACACTTCCCCTCCGTGCTCTACCTCGGACACTGACGAAGGACCAGACAGGACTCTTTGCAATTCTTATGACCAGCTCATCACCGTCCCCTTGCAGAGGGGCAAACAATTACCAGAGGGCCCTCAAAACTTCTGTTGGGACTGAAGCCTGCTCACAGATGAGGGGTCCACCTGAAACGGAAGGTGGCTATTGGTGGGTCTCAGCGCTACGGCTCAGACGGATTACTGGCAGGGAAGTACTGGAGGGTTTGCTCCAGCCTCTGACTGAGATGAGCCAGCAGCAACGGAGACAGATCTAGGAACATCTCAGGAAACTAGGTCACCCCGGGGAGGTCTAGAATGACAGTGGGTATTAGGGTTGGATCTCAAACCTAGCTGGCTATTTCCCAATCTCTCTACCCAGCCCATAGCTGAACCAGTCCCGGGACCTGCCACGGCCGCTTGTTCCCACACAGAATCAGGGCTGGGTTCTAGACTGGGACCTTACATCTTTGCTGCCTTCAGGATCCGACTCGCTGCTAACATCCTCTGTGTTGAGGTTCTCAAAATCAGACTCGCCTACAGCAATGGGCACCCGTACGGTCAAGTTGGGATTGTTGATGAAGGACATGTGGTCCTCGTCGATGATATACTTCTCCACGCTGCTGCCAATGCCACTGGTCGTGCCGTTGCCATTCTTCTGGAAGTCACCGTTCCGGTGGATGTCTGCACCGGTGTGGTTGGCGATGCAGTTGGCCTTCTTTTCATAGAGCTCGTCCAGGGGCTTCACTTCATCGGCCTCACGCTGCTTAAAGTGGGCCTGCATGAAGGCGTGCACTTTCAGTTTGGCCCAGGCCACCCCCTTCTTGATCCGGATGACTGAGATTTGTAGGTTGTTCATTTCTCCATCGTCGTCCGTGGCTGCCAGATTGTCTGCACTGAAGGAGCTCAGAAGCAAGGCCAGAAACAGGTTCAGCACCTGTACCAGTGGCATTAGGAGAAAGGAGAGTGAATGTAGACAGTATGATGTGAAGTCAGCCATTAAACTAGGATTAAAATTGGAAGCCCACAGACTTCTGTGACAGGCACAAGAGTTTCTATCATGTTTGGTTTGACAGTGCTCATGTCACTAAGTGGGCATCAAGAAAATTTTTTTTATTGAAGTATAATTAACATATAGTGTTATATTAGCTTCAGGTATACAATATTCAACAATTTTATACATTGCTCAGTTCTCATCACAATAAGCATTCTCTTAATCCTCTTTATCTCTTCCACCCATCCTCCCCCTCTCCTCTGGTACACATCAGTTTGTTCTTCGTATTTAAGAGTCTGCGTTGTTGTTGTTTTTGGGGGTTTTTTTTGGTCTCTTTTTTTCTTTGCTCATTTGTTTGTTTCTTAAATTTCACATGAGCGAAAACATGGTATTTGTCTTTCTCTGACTTATTTCACTTAGCATTATACCCCCTAGGTCCAGCCATGTTGTTGCCAATGGCAAGATTTCATTCTTTTTTATGGCTGAGTAATATTCCACTGTATACAGATACGCCTATCTCTTTATCCATTTATCTATGGATGGATACTTGGGGTGGTTCCATATCTTGGCTAGTATAAACAATGTTGCAATAAACATAGGGGTGCGTATGTCTTTCCTAATCAGTGTTTTTGTTTTCTTTGGGTAAACACCCGGTAACGGAATTACTGGATCATATAGTAGTTCTATTTTTAATTTTTTGAGGAACTTTCATACTGTTTTCTACCAAGTGGGAACTTTGTTTGGTTTTGGTTGTAATACAAGGTTAATATGTCTTTTCTTGGTTCTTTTATAGTTTTACAAACATATATATGTACCCCCAAATATATTGCTTTTCTTACAATCAGAAAAAGCAAAAACTATATACATTTTGGGAAAAAAAATTTCCCCAAACAGAAAATAAAGATGGACACAGCTTATTGGGAGGATTTAAGAAGAAACAGATGCCATGTATTCACGGACAGGGGAAGTGTTGGAAATCCACATGAAAAAAACAACTAGGCTTGGAGAGCCATGCTTTCCTACAACAAGCCAAGAAAGTAGAACTGGAATACAGTTCATGTCATCTTAAGAATTAATTTCCTTTGCTTTCCTAACATTTATAAAATAAAGTAGTTTAACAAGACAGTGATTGTGACTGTTGTGTTCTGTTGTATATCTAAATGTCCAGCCAAGCTTTATTTAAATAAAGCCAAACTTTATTTATTTATGTTTTAATAGCCTATTTTACCACATTGGACATTAAGATTAATTAATTTATTTTTATTAAGACTTACTTTACAAATTGGGAGAGGTGTTCACTTCTTGATTTACACCTGGCCCTTACTTTGTCACACTTCTGAAGAAGAGCAAGCAATACATTTTAGGTGGAGATCATAGTATGGGTAGAGTGGGGGGAATGGAAACAAATAAATGCACTATATATACACAAATTATTTGGGCCATTTGTAGAATTACAAAGGAGTATGGTTGGTAAAATGAGGGTGAGTTGGAGGGGGCTTTGAAGGCCAGGCTGAGGAATTTGAATTTTATTTAACTGGATTCACTATTGGTCTTTGAGTAGAGGAGTAACAGATGATAGAGATTTGAGAAAATGATTCCTACCAGCTACATACAGTTAGAGCTGTCACTTGCATGAGTTAATAAGAGTCTAGATTAGGCTACTGTAATCTCAAACCTTAGCATGCCTAAGGAATCTGGGGAGAGGTTGCATGAAAAAATACGTATTTCCTTGGCCTCACCTTTAAGGTTCTGATTCAGTAGATCTGGTATAGGGCCTGGGACCGCCTGTTTTAATGAGTGAAAATTGGGTGGCTGTGATCTTCAGACCACACTTACAGAAATACTGGCTAGATTACAGGCATGGAAAGGATGGGGAAGATCTTAGAAATACTATTAATTAAGGTGTACGAAAGGCATCCCATTGTTTACTGGGAAGGGAGAGAAGAGAGTCAGAAGAGACTTATAGTCACAGATTCCTAAAGACTAGGTGGGCAGAAGGACTGAGCAAAGGTGAACCTGGAAAGGTGTTACCAGAAGCAGAAGTAATGTTATGTGCTCCTGCAGGTATCTGTAGAGTAACGGGGAGAGGATGCGGAGACAAGTGAGAAGAGGAGGATGGAGAAAGGGTGGGAAGGCCAGGGCTGGGAAATGTGGATGCCACTATTTACCAGGAGGTAAATTCACTGAAGAAGTGGGAAGTCTAGCAGGAGTAGGACGAGGGAAGGGTGATCAGAAATGGAGAAAGGAAGGGATTACAGAAACATCACAGTGTCCATTTTTACAGATCATAGGAAAGAATAGGGTGGCACGGCTGGTCCAGAGGCTGGTGAGCAGGAACCCCCTCCTGGCATGCTTCTCTGGCACAAAAAGAAGAACTTCTCTGGATGAGCTGACAGGGGTTCCTCTGGGTTTGCCTTCTTCCAGCCCCCCTTGCTCTAGACTGGCAAGTTGGATTGGGCCTGATCTGAAAGATAAGTACTTCTTAAACTTTAGTGTGCATGTCAATCACCTTGGGGTCCAGTTAAAAATGCAGATTCTGATTCAGTAATTCTGGGGTGAGGCCTAAGATTCTAACATACTCTAAAGTGATCTCATTGCTGCTAGTCCTCTGACCACACTTTGAGAAACATGGCGTCAAAATCTCTGTTGGTGAATGAATATTCTACATACAGAGGCAGAAGACAGCCGGCGGACAGCTCAGAGTACAGCAAAAAAGTGACTTGCCACTTATACAAGTTAGATAAAACCTTCTGTCGGTTTAGATCAGTGGTTCTCAATGGAGGGCAATTTTGCCTCCTAGGGGACAGTTGGCAATGTCTGGAGACATTTTTGGTTATCACAACTTAGGGAGGGTGGGGGGGTTACTGGCCAGTAAAAGGCAGAGGTCAGGAAAGCTGCTAAACATCCCACAACACATTTGTAGGACATTTCTACAACAAAAAGATTGTAGGACAATTCTACAACAAAAAATTATCTAACCCAAAGTGCCAACAGTGTCAAGGTTGAGAAATTCTGAATTTAAATGAATTTTTCTGTAGTAGAAAGAGTGTAGATTTTGTAGTCCAGGATCTAATACAAGCCCTGACATATATCAGTTGCCTGACTTCAGGAAGGTCACTTAACTTTGCTGAGGTTTGTTTCCATAGCTATGAAAAAGGGTTGACAGGTTGTGGGGCTTATGACTCAGCAGGCCTCTGTAAAGAACAGTCTCCTTTCCTTCACTTGTACCTTAGGGCTCTTGAGCCAAGAAAGGATTAAAAACTAGCACAGGCATGAAAGCTAGTAGGACCAAGACCATTGGGCTTCTGGTCAAGGGTATGATGTTCTGGGCAAAGAATGAGAAGTTGTACAAGTTAGTACTAACCACCAAGTTGCCAATAACCATGACCATCATGAAGACGATGAGGCACATGGCCTGGCCTGCCACTTCCATGCAGTCCCACATGGTCTCAATCCACTCCCCGCACAACACTCGAAAGACAATGAGGAAGGAATGGAAAAAGTCATTCATGTGCCAGCGAGGGAGTTCACAGTCCTGGTTGATCTTGCAGACGCACTCTTTGTAGCTCTTTCCAAAGAGTTGCATGCCCACCACGGCAAAGATGAAGACAATAATGGCCAGCACCAGGGTCAGGTTGCCCAGGGCACCCACTGAATTTCCAATAATCTTGATCAGCATGTTCAGGGTGGGCCAGGATTTGGCCAATTTGAAGACTCGGAGCTAAGGGGGGAAAAATCGAAACAAAAATCAAATGATACTCAATCCATTATCTTCCACATGGCTAAAATAAAAATATATAAAATTAGTGAGATAAGCTTAAATTTACTGAGCGACCTTGGGAAATTCCCAGGACTTTCTAACTGTCTTAGACTAAAATGGGAGAATGTGAGGCACAGACAGGCAAAATGGATTAATTTCACAGTACATGAAAAACTTAAACTAGGAACCAAGATTATTGCCTCTAGCCCCCTATATTAGTCTCTGAGTCAAACTGCTTTTTATGTTTTATTTTTAAAATTTTAATTTTTTTTAAGTAGGCTCCATGCCTAGTGCAAAGCCCAACAGGGGGTTTGAACTCACGCCCCTGAGATCAAGACCTGACTGAGATCAATAGTTGGACGCTTAACCAACTAAGCCACACTGGCACCCCTATATCCACTTTTTAAGAACCCATACATGAATATATCCTTTTGCTATTGATTTTTCCTTGACCTCTCAAAGAACATATGAAGGAAAATGTTGAGTTGTAGTGAAGCAAAAGATCAGGATGGCAAGGAAAGTGAAAAATAAATAATCTGTCTCTTTAAAAAAAATCACGTAAAAATTCTAAGTATCTCTTTTTTTGCTTGCCAATAAATAATCAATAGCTGATATGAAACCGTGGAATATGCTTGGTATAACTTGGAGGAAAAGCACAAAGCCCTAGTAGGTGCAGTTCCACGTATATCAAACATCTTACGAGAAGGGCCTATAGTGATATTAATTCAGAGGACAAACTTCTGTTATGAGATTTCTATATTCTGTAATAAAATGATTTATAAGGTCTCAGCAAATAGTCTAGAATTATAATGCATATAATTCATTATCTAGAAATAATAATGATGAGGTCATCTTCAGATGTCATAAGTTAATGACTAACACAGGACATAATAGGAATTTTGGTAGAAGACAACAGCACAGAGTGGAACATTTTTTTCCTATTAAAAGCTTGAGTCTTATCTGAGAGTTCAAGATTTACCAGGTGTTTCTCTGTATGAATATCTGGATCATTCATATTTTTTCCCTTCCTGACTGGCTCTTAAATTTATTAGGAATACTAGTGCTCAGGCTTCCACCTTTTACTCCTTCATCCCATCTTCCAGATAGTAAGAATGATTTTCAAAAAGTCTACTGTGGGCTGGATCCTAAGACTAGTAAAGATCCCAAGACTAGTAAACAGAGGTTCCAGAAACTTGCCAGATGGACTGAGACTGAATGAGACCTCTGTTTTACAAATAATTCCATTTTATTCCAATTCTCTTTTTTCAACATGCTGAATATCCTGATAAAAAAAAACTAAAATCCTTTCAGTTATAAATGCTAAGGTATTTTTCCCGATGGGGAAAGAAAAACCTAAGCCAGTTCTGATGCTCTGAGTGGGATATCCCCAAAGTAACTCAGCTTCTCAAGGGACTTAATCAGAACATAGCTTATGCCTGTGTTTATGGGAAGCTATTTTGAGGGTATCATTAACTGTTTCAAAGTCATTTTAATAATTTTAACATTAATTTTCTCAAGTACATTACAAAATCCTTCTCAGCTAATGTTATGGGGAAAAAAAGCCAATGTTTAATAGTTAATTTCAATATCATTTTAAAAAAATACTGTTTTGTTCCTGTTTTCTGGAAGGGGTCATCATGATGGAAGAAATGAGAGACCTCTTTGAACAAGGAGAAATTCCACTTCAGGGAGATGTTCAGATAAGGAAACAGCTTTACTAGCAAATTCATTAGACCTCAGAATAGCCCTTAGCAATCCTTTTTCATCTTTTAGATTAACCATTATTTTCTGAGGAACTTCCTAAAATTGTCCTCTGTTTGTTGACTGACATTAAAAACTAACTTCTATATTGGGCACTTAGCAGAAAAATTTTTTCAAGATTTTAGTATCTAAGCCAATAAATTGCCAACAGAAACTGTGAGTAGAATATAGCTAAGGATTTTTTTAATCATCAAATTAACTTATGCAAAACTTTTTTAGTAGCTGCAAGATAGGAAATGTAAAAAGAAATTGGAGAAATATGGAATACCAATCGGAAAGATCGCAGCACCGAAAGCCCCTCCACGTCTGCTAGACCCAGTTCCATTAAACTGAGGGAGACAATAAATCCGTCAAAAATGTTCCAACCTTCTTGGAAATAATAGTAGGGATCCATGGCTATGAGCTTCAGGAACATTTCCGCTGTGAAAATTCCAGTGAAAACCTAAAGAGGGGAAGGCGGGGTTAAGAAAAAGAAATAAGAGAAAGAGAATGCCTTTATCATTATCTTTGGATAGAATACGTCCAAGAAGCTGCAAGAGCTAGCCTTCTTAAACTGTGCATCTGAGGACATCAGCACTTAGATGTCGCATGACTACTCCACATGGGGCAGGAGAGCCTTGTTGGCTCTTGATTCAAGTACTCAGTCCCAATGTTCTCATCTTTGTTGCCAGAAACACCTAATTCACATTGCTCAAGAATGCATTTAACAAGCTATTTTAAGCAATAGGAAGACCACACAGGGGACAGACTCCTTCTAAAGGGTCAGCAGCCATTTTGAATGTTTATGTTTGGGGTGTTCGCCTAAAAAAAACCAAAACCAAAAATCAAAAAACACCGTTCATTGAATTGTAATTCTATGTAAAATATACAGCACTATTCCTGATTTGATATTACGTGTCTTTTTATTTTTAGATTTTATTTATTTATTCAATAGAGACAGCAAGAAAGGGAATATACAAGCAGAGGGAGTGGGAGAGGGAGAAGTAGACTCCCCACTGAGCAGAGAGCCCAATGTGGGGCTCGATCCCAGGACCCTGGGATCATGACCTGAGCCGAAGGCAGACGCTTAACTCCTGAGCCACTCAGGCCTCCCAATGTTATGTGTCTTATCGAAGGTTGACATATGCTGCCATGTTTCTTATTTTGAGTTGTAAAAGCAACAGAACACTGCTAAAAGTGTGCAAAATACAGGAAAAAAGTATAGTCTCATCATCTCATACAACTATCATTTTTTCTATATTCCCTCTCTGGTTTCTTTCAAATGCATATATATTTTGACAGAGTTGTAAAATCATAGAGTACGTAATATCTTGGGTCTTATTTTTCACTTATCATAACTCAATCCATGTTTCTGCATAGTCTTCTGAATTCCCATTTATATTGCTTGTATAAAATTCTACTGAGTATGTCCTCAAAGAACTTTCTTTTCTTTTTATTAAAAATTTATTTATTTTAGAGAAAGAGAGAGCGTGAGCTGGGGGAGGGAGATAAAGAGAGAGAGAGAGTTTCAAACAGATTCCCCACTGAGTGAGGAGTCCATCTGGGTAAGAGAATGACTTCTCCCCAGTGTCATAAGACTCCTAACTTTTCTACCTTTCAGAGCACCCCATGTCTCCCAATGCCTCCTGTATCCCACAGGACTTGGTAACATAATGTACTATAAGAAAGTAAAATCCCACAAATGCCAGGTTTGACAAGACCCTCATCCTAAGCGAACCACATAACATCAGACTCTTACTGAATAACATCAGATTCTTACTGAATATTATGATTTTAGAGGAAGGCTTCATATGTAATGGGTTTTAAACTCATAATAAAATTATAGCTTGCAACTACCTGGTTACCAAGTTTACAAAGGAAGCAGTTTAAGGAAAACTTTGAAGATATGGTCTGAGGACAGAACTGGAAGTAGTCAAAAATATTTAGATTACAGATGCTGTTGGGAAAGAGACCCAGTTAATGTATAGGAACGACAAAACAGAACGGTGTGACGGAAATCAAAATGGATACAGGGGCTATAAGGTTTTGTGTCTGTGTACTTTTCCACGGCCCCCCCATTTTCCTAAACTGAAGATGCCGTTATTCTAGAACTGAAAGAAAATAATCCCTAGAGAGACCCAATTAAGCAAAATCAAAGTTCACAGTGCCTGCTACGCGTCTACAGACGGAACATCACTGTGAGGGCAGCTAAGCACATCCTGACAGCCATTTTCCCTCAGTGTAAACCCAGGGAAGGTTTCTCTCTACAGACATGTCAGCCTGCTTGCTGCACACTGAGTAGAGACTGGATTTGCTGTCCCACTGGTTCTGATGGACACACAGGAAATGCTCAGTCATAAGCACTGGCTAACTGACCATGGAATATTTATACTGTGGGAACTCTGATTCCTAAGAGAAAATCAACGATGGCAGAGTTACTGTTGCTCTTCAGTGGGATACATGGCACCCAGATGCCGGGTAGAAATGCCTGTGACAGAGGTCAGCAACCATGTTCTTTCAACATACAGTGAGTGCCATCATTGGGGTTTGCTGGTATGAAAGAACACTTTTTTTACAAATGGAAAAGGGTAGCTTTAAGGTTATCCCTATGATGCCATTCTAATTTGTGCTGTGGTATGCTTCTTGAGGAGGAGAAAAAATAAGAATGATAAGAATTATAATTATAATCACAGAATTATAAGCAGCATATCAACCAACAGCTGTACATAAATGTCGCTCTTGTGAATGTCCTCAAATATTCACCTAGGAATTTATGCTCTAATGTAGCATTTCTCAAAGAAATTGGGACTGGGGTGTCAGGGCCTGAGGAGTGTGGGGAGAGGGTCCACAGGGAGGACACTGGTGTGGATGCTGGGGGTCTAGCATAGGAAGCCAGAGCCTGAAAAGGGCGAGGAGGACAATCACCTAGCAAGAGGTAACAGTGCTTTTTTATCAAATAAATAAAGTAGAAATAGAGGTGACCAGGTTTCTTTGTCAGAGGAGTTACAATTATAGAAACGGAGATACCGGAATGAACCCGGTAATGTTGGACTAGGATAAACAGCCAGCCTCATACTGCGAGGGCCCAGTCATGAACATTGCTCCAATAGATCGTGACTTCTAATTATCATTTCCACTACAACAATGAAGGCTCCTTGAGAAATGGCTGGTCCAGGCCTGAGATGGGAAAAATATAAAATTAGCCTGGACTATTCTATGATACTGGATAAAAGGAAGTGATGAGGATATGTTGACAGGACCCAGAAACCAGCTTGAAGGAACGCCCAGTGGCCAAATCAGGAATGGTTTAAACATTTAGATGATAATGGATTATAGCCCACCAGATAAAACTGAAAGCCATGAGTCTACATTGACATAAATAAATGAATAAATCCAAAGCTTAATGAAGAAAAGTAAATTTAGATAATTTCAAAACATCTTCACAAACACTTACTAATTAAAATGGAATTATAAATGGAAAAGAGTAACTTTACAGGAGAGAAGCCTGGCAGACACCTCCTTCATCAACTGACCGAGTCCCATCAATTTGGGACAAATGGAAACCATGCCATCTGGTAGGTTCAAGGAGAAGACAGCCTCGCTTTTTTGACATTCCCACCAAATGTGTAAGCTGAGTCTAGTCAGGAGGAAGCATCAGACAAACTGAATTTGAGGGAATTCTACAAAATAACTGGCCTGCAGTCTTCCCTAGTCTCAAGGTCAAGAAACTGATGTAAGACTGAGAAAGTCCGCCAAGCTGAAGAAGACTGAAAAGACAGGAAAACCGAATGCAACAGGAGACTGGCACAGCATCCTTTTGCTACAGAGGACATGACTGGGATTTCTGGTAGAACCTGAAGGGGCCCGAGAATGCAGTGGTTGTGAGGTGCACGGGAATTTCCCGAGTCTGGTGGCTGTACTACGGTTTTGCATGAGAACATACTTGTTCATTAAACACACATGCAGAAGGCTCAGAGGCTGTGTCAGCAGATTCCTCTCCAAAACAACATCTTAGACCGTACCTGAAACCTTTCTCCAAGATTGAGATTGTTTAAAAAAACAAAACGAAACACCTTTTAAACTCACTATTGTGTTCAAATGGTTGCAAAAAAGGTAAGAAAAGAATCCTTACATTTATCTCCTGAATAACACAAAAGGTGTAGAAGTCACATAGCCAAACTGGGCTTCCATTTCCTTTATGGAACATGAGGGATGGATAGAATTATCTTTAAGGTTCTTCCTCATATTAACGTTTTTCCTTGTGGGAGGGTTGAGGAGGCAGCAAACTTTACAGCAAACCATTCTCTCCCACCAGAAACCTCCATCTGTATATCTATGGACAAACACAGCTCAGGTCACCGTCCCAGCTGTGGGAAGTCCTTAGGGTTCCAGCCGTGAGATAGGCTGTTCCCTATTTCACAAGCTGGTCAATCTCACTCTTTTCCATCTTTTTCTCAGGTTCATTCAAAGACTCTCTCTAGATGTCCAAGCCTTTGGGAGCTCTTCTCTGCTTGTTAGATGGGATGCTGCCTGGTTCATGAATCATTTAATAAAGCCCGTTAGATTTTTTTTTTTAAATGTCCAAGCTACTGAATTACACTAATATGGTTCCTACGATTTGTGGAGTGCTTTTTACTATTCCAAAAACTTCTCTATAGGTTCTCATTTTGTCCTCCCAAATACTGAGGACATGGTATTATACTTGTTTTATAGATAAACATCTGTGGTTAGAATGAGTAGCATATTTTAAGTTAGTATGTTCAAAACAGAACTCCTGATTTTAAACCTCAAACCTATTCCTTCTTTAGTCATCCTATTTCCCTCTTAGCTACCAAACTTCCAAATCTAGGTACCAGTCTTCATTTCTTTCCCTTCACGCTCACCTCCAATCTACTGGCCAGTCCAAAGTGTCCTGAACCACTCACTGTTTTCCATCCCCACTACTAATTGCATGCTTTCTTTACAATCCCTTGGAAATTCTTGCCCCCAGAGTGTTTTCCCATTTTAGAACTCGGTTTTGGTTGACTTGCTTCAAAAAGTCCCTGAATATTATTAGTTGCTGACCTTCCCTTCTCTCCTCTTTCTTATGGATGATTCTGAGCAAAGTCTTCTGAATGTTCACAACTCTAATTTAGGTGTGACCCTAAGTCTCTACAGATTTTTAAGAAAGGGAAAAATGGTGTTATCTGCTGGTCTGGTGTGAGGGCAATTCTGCTGGTGGTAGGTGACAAGACCTCTCAAATTCCCTTCAAAATCAGGGACTGGCTCTGCAAAAAGCAAGTAAGAGTAAAGACTTTGAGAAAAACAAAACATCGCAGGGAAAATACCACCACCACCACCACCACCATCAACAACAACAAAATTATCAAGCTGTATTTTTCATTACTTAAGTCTTGGCTAATAAGATAAAGCTCATATCTGTATCATCTTGTTGATTCTTTCAAAATGTTGCTTGATGGCCAAGTTTCTGGTCTGCGAGTGACGCAGCCCACTATCAGGTACCCTTCAGAGTCAGCAGATTTCCTGGACAGCCTACGAGAGTGTCCCATTTCAAGATGACCCATATTTCATCGGGTGGCACACGAGGGTTTATATCAAAGCAGTGAGCCTAGAGCGTGTCACTAACTCCGACGTGCAGAGTAGAAAGACCACAGAATTATCTCGGACGTGTACCAGGGAATGCGATAGGCTATAAGGACTAACCAGATAAAGGATCTCCTTTGCCATGTGTGTTTTCATAATCAAAACTCAAAATGATATTATAACACTCTAATAGTATGTTAGTGCTTAATGTAAATACTCTTTGTGTGTGTCAGATGTGTGTGTGTGTGTGTATACAGAGAGAGGGAGGGAGGGAGAAGGAGAACATCAGGCAGGGATCATACTCAAAAGGTAACAAACCACTAGATTTGACTTGCTCATGGTGAAACTCCCAAGGAATAACGAAGCACAGATGACCTAGAAGATTCTTTCCAACTAGATCTTTCCCATCTACCAAAATTCAATCGACTCCTGATTTTTGGACTAAAGAAATAAAACAGATAATCCCCAAATCACAACTATTTGACTTCAGAATACACTGTGCCACCTATTAAGAACAAAACAAAGCACCTCATTCTTATCTTCTAAATAATAAGTTAAATATATGACTTCAGCTAACATTAAAATAAATTTGGCACAGATCAACTAATGGTAGAAACTGGATGAGAGCCCAGAAGTTGGATGGGAGGGGGAAGCCAGCCTAGAATTAAGTTTCCCACAGATAGACCCCATATGGATAATTAAGATATGACAGTGCAGGCAAATTTATAGTTCTGTTTAATGCACTAAAAGAGCTCCCCTATTTTGTGGTGGTTGTTACTGAAGGTGAAAGGGGAAGTGATGCTGGAGTAATGCAGGAATCAATGTGAGAAACAGAACGAGAAAGAAAATCCAGAAGTCCTTGGCTCAGGTTGCTGAAAGCAGCCCACTGCACCATGCCTCCCATTCTGTCACCATGACTGGTTTTCTGCCAATAGCTCCTAAATGACGTCTTCAAAGTTCTGCAGAAAGAGGGAACAGCCAAGGGATCACAACAGTGAGCAGAAGCGGCTGGGGCTACGCCATATGCGGAAGCATTTGTCTTCCAATTAACTCTTACTTTCTTTGCAACTGAACTCCAGCTTCCAGTATCGCAAAAAGATGTCCTACAGGCAAAACATGTTCGGATCATAAAATCCGGAGACGGCGTTCCATCTTACCAGATTTCCTACAGCCAAGACGTGCTCAAACTGTGGTGTCATGGGATGGTGCTCCATGGCCATAAACAGGGTATTCAGGACAATGCAGATGGTGATGGCCAAGTCCACAAACGGGTCCATAACGATCAAATTCACAATCTCTTTCAGTTTGATCCAGTAGGGGTGACACTCCCAGATGAGGAAAGTATTGGCAAATTTATACCAGCACGGCGGGCACTTTCTCTGAGACTCTTCCAGCTCTGTAGTGAGTAAAGAACAAATACGGTGAGAAGACAAAGGGGGCTGCTCTTCACCCTCTGCTGGGTCATTATCACTTCTATTCAGCATAAGAAGAAAGGTGGTCCGAAGGAAGGTGCTGACCTTCCTGAGTGTGTAGTCACCGCCCCCCATCCTGTTTTCTTTCTCATGAAGGGAAAGAGGAAGCAGGGGCAGTCACAGGTCACCTCCCTGTTAACAACGATCTGGTTATAAACTAGGGTTTGATATGTCTGTTTTGGGAACCCAGCGTCATGGTTAGGAGCTTGGCCTCTGGAGTCTGGCTCCCCGGTCTGCCTGGGTTCAGCACTCACAACTGTGTGATCTCAGGCAAGTTGCTGGGTCCTCTATGCTTCTTTGCATCATCTGAAATGACACTTTACAGGCTGGAAGGCTAAACGAGTCCTGTAATCCTCATGCACTGACTGAGGAGTAAGCAAGGTGGTGAAGTGAAGCAGCCTGGACAGCGCCTGGTGCGTGGCAGGTCCTTGGTAAACGGCAGGTCTTAGATTATACAACGTGTCCCTAAATCATTATCAGAGAAGCAGCTGCAAGCACAGACTCTGAAGCCAGACCTACCTGGCCGCTCAGACATTGCTGGGCGGGGGAACCCGGGCACCGTTCTTCAGTCAGTGGAGAGAACTGAATGCGCTAAGACAGAAAGCACCTCAGAGCACCCTGGCCTACAGTAAAGGTCACAGAAGCGTCTGCTCTTAGCACTCATTCTCTGGGCAGCCCAGGCAGCATGGGTGGCCGGCTACCCTGTGCAGGGCGTCTCTTCCAGTCCCAAAGAAGTGCAAGTCAGTGAGCTCACAACTCACAAGTGAGGTGGGCACAGGACTCCCACTCCTCTCCCTTCCCTCCTCTTTCTCATCTCCCCTCTTTTCCCTTCTTGAGACATTTTCGTCCTCCCTCCTTCCTTCCCTCCCTTGGTCTTTCTCTTCTTTCCTTTTTCTTATCTTCTTTCAGTCTGGCTCTCTCGCTTTTAGAAACAGAACTGGTTAGTTTCCAAGAAGATTTTACGTGATCCCCAACATACAAAACAGATAAGCCAGGAACTGCTGTAGTAGAGGCAGGAAGAGGAGCCCAGTCTGGCGGACTTCCTTTTTCCCTGAGGCACTTCCCTAGAATCCTGGACAAAGACTGAATATCACTGGACCAAGATGATCTCAAGGTCACTCACAAAACAAAGATGAAAAAGGACCCTTAGACACTAAAGGCAGAGAACCATTTAGCCGGCAACCATGACAACCCGGGCATTAGACCATAGGCAACAAAGCCCTCCTCAAGTAAAGTATGAGTCATAATAGTCTGAATTACAAAAGTCCAAGGACCTTGATCTCCAAGGATGTTCTTTAACAGATGGAGATTTGAAAACCTGTCAGCATGATAATCCTTAGAGGAAAGGTCTTGGTTCCACGGGGTTGAATATAACTGCATCTATCGCACACCCCAACCCAATTCTGCTGACAAAATCAAATCATTCAAGGAATGAAAAAAAGTTTCCCAGCGTTTCACCAAGAACAAGATGGCTGCCTTAAATTAGTCTACTTTCCCTTTTTCCAACCAGCTGGATGGTGCCCATGGTGATGGCTTTAATTTAGATGGGGTGCTTTGGTTGGGTTTTTGATTGGCTCCCTGGTTGCTAAGAAAATGGTTGCCTTGGTTTTTCAGATTTAAGGGCCACAGTAAGCGCCACGTGGGAGTCTGCGTGGGAAAGGAAGTCTGTGAAGAAAATTTGCTTTGGCTTCTTCCTCACAGAACTCCCTCCCTTCCCAAGGTAAATTTAGTTTTCTAACCAAAAAAAGAAAATGAAAAGGTTCTCTTATTTCCATAAATTCTTACAGTACATATTTGGAAATTTGGTTCCATTCCTCTTTTTAATCTCCTCCCTTCTCCAAATGTCTATTCACTGGCACATGGAGGTTAAAGCAGCGACTGTTCACGTCTCTGACAGTAGACACAATTGCAGTGTTGTACGGTGCACTAGGTTCTAAGTCTCTGCCAGATATCGAAGAGGGGTTTCCCTACCCTATGGGGCACCAAGAAGGTTCCTACAGGGATATTGCGGATCTTACCCACATTTTCTCAGGTAAGATCTCAGGATAATCTTTCGGGTTCCACAAACGGTAAGACAACATGGAGCTTTAGGAGCTAGAAAGGATCAGTTAGGTAACAACAGAGATTTATAAAGTGACTCACAACTTGACCAACTGTTATTGGCCCCACATGCCTGAAACGGCTAAGAATTTTGTCTGAGGAAAAATATTTCCAAAGAAATATCCAAAGGTTTATGGGGTTCCCCTTACTTTGCTCCTGGACATTCTCAGAGAGGTTACTGTAGTCTCAACCTCAGAGGTGCTGGGGATTCTTTTCAGAGAGGGCCTCACAGTTCCACCAAGATGGTGGTGTTAGTAGACCGTGAGGTTTTGAAGGCAGGGCTTCTCTCAGTTCAATTCAACTGCTTTGAAACACCTACAGTGTGCAAGGCCCTGGGAATACGCGGATGAACAAGAGTCCCCACCCTCACAGAGCTTACAGCCACACCACGAGAGACACACAGCGGGGTAAGTAATGGTGCTGACCGACACTTGGGGCTGGTCAGTTGAACACAAGAGCGAGTCAACAAATTGTGGCAGCTGACAGCTCTGGCCAGTTGTCTCTCTGAGGCAGTTTTTGAACCTGTTTTACTTGAGAACCAATAATAAGTACCATCACTTCCTCATTCTTACTTCACCAACTCCCTCCTCTTCTCCCATAGCTTCACTGCTCAGAGAAGTGAGACTATAGTAGTCTGCTTATACCCTTCCCCCAGTCCTCTGAACTAGCCCCAAGCTGATGGCTCTGCTGACTGAATCCTGCTGAGTTTATTGGATCAAGGTGAGCATGTCTACAACGGGATGGAGGGGTTGGCGACACACAACAGGCAGGATTTTCTCCTTATTTACACGCTTCTGGAATTCTCCACTGTGCCCTCTAAGAGATCAGGTAGGCAGAAGAAGCCTGCTTCTTTGGTTTGGTAATCCAAAGATTAAAATTATGTCAGAGTTTCCTAACAGAAGGTCTGAGAAGCAGGAACAATTATTCATTCAATGCTGGCTTTTCATGTTGTAGCAATCATTGAATACAAGGACCAGCAGTTAAATAGGAATGGATCTTTCTTAATGTCCTTTAATTCCCTCTCACATTATTCAGCTCCAGCCATTCGTTGTTCTTTGCTTACAGCGGTGCTGTCTCATCAGCTTTAACAAAGAGAGTGGAATACTAGGGGAGGGGATAGGGGAATGTCTGCGCAGTGAAAGGCTACGTGAACATTAGGACTTAGAAAAGGGAGAAAAAACAGGAATGGCTTCCTACTCAGGAACACAACTATGACGGTCTCTCTCTCCCCTGAGCTGCCCCCTATGTCTGTTTTTTATCATATATGTGCTGGTGGGTGGAGGGTAGAGAATGAGGAGGGCAGAACAGGAAGAGAAAGAAGGGCACAGGGAGAAGAGGAAGGGAGAAGAAAAAGACCAAGCTATCTCTCCATTGGTTTCTACCCAGCTCAGTAGAGGAATGCAAGCACCAAGGCCTTCAAAGGGAAGCCCGCAGCATAGATGCCCCCACCATTCCAAGCACGGCAAGGGTCAGTCTAACAAACATTTCTGGTGCATTTACTTTTACTAGACCCTGTGTTGGGCCCCTTTAGTAATCAATCAACTGAGTAACTGTGGTATTGCGTCAATAGTTCCTCCATTCTGATGTCTGTGCCAGTCGTAAAATATGCCTGTTGGAGGTGCAACTTTCTCTTTCTTTTGTCTTTCTCAACTTCCACAGATATCCAGAGAAATCCTGTTCTTGTCTCCAAGTGAAGAATAAAATTAGCCAAGGTTCTTAAGCTAGTGCTTCTTAGCTTGAAATTCTTATGCTCTGCAGTTATCTCAAAGTATAAACTACAAAGTTTAAAGATATTTTCTTGGATGATGACCTCGATGAAAATTAGAGGAAAACAGGAATAAATGTTCAGGCAGCTGAAACAGTTAACTCAAATTCTTCTTACTTGATACATTCTTAAGATTATTCTAGGTATAGTCTAACACGTTGCTCACAGGTGGTAATGTAAACGATCTAGGGGAGCTCCTTTCTGAGGATTCTCCCTTTATCACAGACGACCCTGCTGAATGAATGAACACACACTCTCTCTCTCCTTCTTTCTCTCTCTGAGTAGAAGAGGTATTGGGCTCAAATGACTTAAAAAATAACTTGTCCCAAGGACATCAGGATAGTTTTGAATCTCCTTAGCTCAGGAACTCTGGTTATTGCTGGGTTAGCCCAGGGGCTCTGAACTCTGAAGAACAGCAATCCGAGGCCTTGAGAATATTCTGGGACAGCTAGGCTAAACCAGTGTGAATCAAAACAAGAAGATTCATGCAGAATCAAACAGCATCTCCTGAGAGAAAACCCAGTCACTGAATCTACCTCCAGAGACAGCAAGAGGAGCCTGCAGTACAGACCACAGGTGGACAGACAGCTGGTACTCGCTGGGGGACTGTAGTGTCGTGGAAAACCCTGATGCTGCACAGCGTGCCAGGCTGTGTCGTGCAGGGGGGCACCCAACATCAAGCACCAGCATCGACAGCAACACTGCTGCAGGTGCACTGTGATTGCACAGTGGCTGTTCTCCGGTGGCACAGAGCGCCGAAATAAGAGGGGTTTCGGCTTACCTCTCACACATCAAACATATTTATGGATATGTGGGGGTGTTTGATAAGAGGCAGAACTAGGTGCCGTCTAAATGCACAGTACATTAGTCCTTCAGGGAAAACCAAGAGGGCCCCAGGTAGCTAACAAGGAAAAGAGGAAGGTATGTTGTAGGGCAGAGGGCATGGAGGGAAGCCATCATTTCTTATCCTCACAGTTCCTCAGTCTACAGCCTTTATGCCTCCCCTCACCCCACTGGCTCCTCATGACCATTATGGTGTTCTTGAGATCTTCTAGCTCACTCCTGACCGTCATTTCCTTCGTAATTCTTACTTATCTGTGTACAATGCTGGTAGAAGCTCGGAAGTCCTTATTTGATTCTCTGCATGCAGATTTGGGATGTTGGTTCCTACAGCCCATAGACTCTATTCCTAAGGTTCAGAGTTAATTTTTGCAAAACTCAGGCCAATGGGCAGGGATTATATTTATCACACACACTACTTTTGAGATCTTGGCGGCTTGGACCGACATCAACGGCACATACCTTCTACTAGTGTATTTGTAACGACACTCAATATACTATTGATTCTGTCCTTCCGCCCATAGGAGGCCAGTTGGTCCATGGAAACTAAGAGAGATCCGGGGCCTTTCTTCTTAATTTCCACCTCAGTTGTAGCCTGGAAAAAAATAGTGAATCGGGTGAGTAAAGTCTTACAAACATTAAAGCTGGGCCTTACTGGACAGACAGTCCAGAGTGTGAGCAGAAACAGATGCTCTTCCTGATACCTTTTACTCTGCTCCTACAATCCTATTCACCTCAAGAAGTAGAAGCAAACACGACTATGGATCATCCCAGCTCTAAAGATGACAAGACCAGGTGAAGTCTGTACAAATCTACAATGAACCAAAGAATCTGGCTGGGACCCAAGCACCTCATCTGGTTAATTCGTAGCATGGAACAGAAAGACCAGATCTCCAGGGCCAATGCCATCCGAAGCAGAACCTAAATTCTCCCGTCTCAGTCTCGTATCCATAGCATCTGGCTGGAATTGGACCACACAGTAAAATAAGTAGAATTCACCTCCATTCGACATTCCATTAAGGGCCAATTCCCTGATCACACTGAGTACTGTAGACGTTGTTTCCTGCATGGGTACGAGACACTATCACTCTCTCAAACTGTTGCTTCCAAATATCAGACCTGGGCCCAGCTGAATGTTAGCAAGCTGAAGTTCTACCCTAATTCTCCTCCAAGGCACTGTAAAGAAGTATGGTAAGGGTCTCACTATTTTAGATCTATGTTTATTTTGCCCTGATAAAACTTTACTTTATAAGTTAACCTGAGATATTCAAATTCCCACACAAAAAGGGCAGAAAACACCATCAGACTGTTACACAAAATATTTGTTACATGCTCTACTGTGGGCAGTGCTGGCATGGAAGATTACAGCACAGTGTTTCTTACTGTCCCTTGCTTGTGCTCTTTGTGCCAACCTGAATATACTACATTAGATTAGCCTTCAGGCAGTGGCTTAAAAGCTAGCTTTCCAGTTACCACACCAATCACTATAACATGTCATCCATGTAATGCTGGTTGTCCCTTCCACTGTGAAGATAAGAGGGCAGAGACAGTCACCATCTCTCAGAGCACAGGGGAGATACATGTTTGTAGGAAGCTAGAGAAGTAGGTCTGGATCAGTATCAGAATGACTCTAGCTGTTTTGAAAAGTCCCTAGACAGCTCCATCAGAAAGGCTTTCTGCCCTTAGGTATGACTAGATTTTAAGAACTGTACAGAAGAAAGTTTCTGGCAGATTATAATTTATCTTATTACAGTGTTTCATCAAACTGTTTCACTGATTCAGACATTTGGTTTACCTTAGGGTTTGGTTTTGTTTTGTCTGGCGGAGCTACAGAAGAAATGGAAAAGAAAAAGAACTGATTTCCTTGGGAATTCCTGGCTGTATTACTATACAAACACCTGAATATGTAACAATGATGAGATGACCAGTTCCTCAGGTCAAATAAGATCTATTTCTTTGATAAGCCACTTTTTGGTGCAATTGTCAGCCCGGTATTCATAACACCTAATAAATCAGATTAGATGACTCCATTTTAACAATGAAAATCATCTAAAAATGAATGCAGAAAAGCTCCACAGAGTAGACACTCTTGTTTCTGGCATTTATTCCTTCTAGATTTTTACTGAGCTGCTCTTTGCAGTATATGGTAGAAAATTTTCATAATACTGACTCCCAGGTAATGTAAGATCTGATGGACTGGTTGATTCATCAAGAAAGGATGAAACTGCATTTAAAACTGCTTTGGTTCTAAGTATATCTTATCGTTTTCTGGACTTGCTAGATGTGACAAGATATGAATTCTTCAGACTTTAATAACATTAACCTTAAAGTTAATAAAAATGCTGTCTCAAGGACCTAGTCAAATCATTAGATTAATATTTAGTGCTATCTATTTGAGAGCTATAATAATTTTTAGGTTGGATTTTAAAAACTCCACATAAAGAAAAGTTTATCCCCAAACTTAATATTAAGATGGAAGAATTATTACTTATATCTTTCTATGTAAAATTAAAATAAACTGTAGCAGGGATATGTGGAGACAACTTCTATAATGTTAAAATTGTTCCAGAGTAAGGCATGTTACAGAACATACCTTCAGTTTCAGAAAAGAAAGAAATGAAAGAAGACACCAAGAAAAAGAAATTTCAAAGACCATACTTAAGGAACTTCAGAGGGTAAAAAGAGAAAGTCATTATGTCACCTTTTTACATAGGCAAGAGCATTTACCACAGATCCAAATAACTGATTCCACTGAAAAATCTTATGGTAATAATAAGATATTCAGAAAAATTCCCTTAAATTTGTAAATTAAACAACAGACTTCTAAAAATCCATGAACCAAAAATGAAATCACAACAGAAATTAGAAAATACTTTGTGGATAATGGAAACAATACTTTACAATTTATGGGATCCAGCTAACACAGTGGTTTGAGAAAATTTTACAGTGCTAAATACTTATATTAGAGTATAAAAAGATATACAATCAATGCTCTGAGCTTTCACCCTGAGAAATTAGAGAAAGATCAACTTAAAGTGCAGGTAAGTAGATGAAAGGAAATAACAAAAATAAGAATGGAGATTAACGAATTAGTAAATGCACAAACCAGAGACAATCAAAAAGGGCAAATATTTTTTTAAAAACAGATTAAATTGATACTTCCCTAGCAAGACTGATCAAGAAAAAAAGAGAGAAAACACAAATGATAATTTTCAGGAAAAGGAAGGAGAATATTATTACAAATCCTACAGGCATTATTAGGATAATAAGAATATACTGTAATTTTAAGTCGAACCATTGTAAGATGGAAATCTTCTGTACAATATTTATATCAAAGTATAAGATAAGTATGATAATAAATAAACCCCCAAATCTAAGTGGTTTAAACTAAAAAAAAAAAAAAAAAAAAAAGAATATATTGTAAACAACTTCATGTCATTTCACCTTGTATGAAATGGACAAACTTACCAAAACACAACTTATCAAAACTGATAGAAGAAATAGAAAATCTAAATAGCTCACATTAGAAACTGCAATTGAAAAAACCTTACAATAAAGAGAAATATAGGGCCACCTGGGTGGCTCAATGGGTTAAGCCTCTGTCTTCAGCTCAGGTCATGATCTCGGGGTCCTGGGATTGAGCCCTGCATCAGGCTCTTTGCTCTGCAGGGAGCCTGCTTCCCCCCCCTCTCTGCTTTCCTCTGTGCCTACTTGTGATTTCTCTCTTTGTCAAATAAATAAATAAAATCTTAAAAAAAAAAGAGAGAAATATAGGTCTAGATGGCTCTACCAGTGAATTCTATCAAGCATATACAGAAGAAATAATATCAACACCAATATTAACACCAATTCCTTCAGAAAATAGAGGATATGGGCTACTTCTCAACCTGTTTTATAAAGTTAACATGACCTGATATTAAACCTGCCAAAAACACCACAAGAAAAGACAATTAGTGACCCATATCCCTCATGAACAATGATGTGAAATCCTTAAGAAAACATAAGCAAATATCTACAAAGATAATATACATCATTACCAACAGAGTTTATATCAGGAAAGATAGTTGCACATTAGGAAAAAAGTCAATGTCATTCATCACTTTAACAGAATAAAGGAAAAAAGTGATCTGATTATCTCACAGATGCAGAAAAAGTACATTTAATAAAATTAAACACCTCTGCATAATAAAATTTTTTAGCAAGCCAGGAATAGAATGCAGCAGCTTCAATCTGATAAAGAATATCTATGAAAATCTACAGCTAACATTAGTCTTCTTGATGAAACATTAAATCCTATTCCTTTAATAATGGAAACAAGGAAGAATGTCTGCTTTTATCATTTCTACGCAATTTTGTATCTCAAGTCCTAGCTAGTACAATAAAGCAAGAAAAATAATAAAAGGCATAAAGGTGCAGTTGCTATTATACACAGAAAGTATTATTGTACATGTAGAAAACCCTATGGAATCGGCAAAAAAAAAAAAAGACATAATAGAACCAATATGTTAATTCATCAGGATGATGAGATACAAAAAAATCTGATTCACAAAAATCAACTGCATTCCTATACTCTGGCAACAAAAATAGTTGAAAATAAAAAATTTAAAAATTATACCTTTTAGAACAGTATCAAAAAACACAAATACCAAGGAATAAAACTAATGAAAGATGGGTAAGATATTCACTACAAACTATACAACTTTGCTGAGAGAAACTTGAGAAGACTTTAATAAATGAGAACTATACCACATTTACAGATTGAAACACTCAATATAATTAAGATGTCCATTATTCCCAAACTGACCCATAGATTCAGTGCAATCACTAAAAGAATTCTAGGCTTTTCTGAAAAAAACTGACAGAAAATGCTTCTAAAATACATAAGGACACACGAAGGATCTAGAATAGGAAAATAATTTTTTCAAAACATCTGATAGCAAATTAATCTCTTAAGAGATTATTTGATAATCTTTAAAATATTTTTTGTTTGGAGGACTTATGCTATCTCATTTCAAGACTATAAAGTTACAGTAATTAAACAAGTGTAGTATTGGTATAAGCACAAAGAGACCAAAGGAACAGAAGAGAATCCAGAAAGAGACCCACACGTGAACATCAACTGACTTTTGACCAAGGTGCCAAGTCAATTTAATGGAGAGAAGAAAGTCTTTTTAACAAATGGTACTGAAAAACTAGATATTCATCCAAGTCAACTCCTATCTAATTTCATACACACAAATTGAGTTGAATCAGAGATCTGAATATAAAACCCAGAACTGTAAAATTTACAGAAGGAAAATAACTTCACAATTTTGGGTACTGGCAAAGATTACTTGGACAGGATGCAAAAAACAACAAAAAAGGAAAAAACTGATACACTGGATTTCATAAAAATTAAAAATTTATGTTTCTGATAAGGGACTTATAACATATAAAAAAATAAATCAATAATGGGCGAAAGATTTAAATAAGCGATTAATAAAAGATCTGTGAAAAGCCAATAAGCACACAAAAAGATGCTTATCATCATTAATCAGCAGGGAAATGCAAATTCAAAGCACAGTAAGATACAGTTTATGCCCACTAAGATGCTAA